GATTTAATAAGCAAGGTTAAAAGGATAAAAAGAACATTATCCCAGTATATTCCCCTAGTTCACAACCTATTCCCCAACCCTATAAATTACTTACGAGAAATATAAAATTGTAAATACAGAGTACATATTTACAGGCAGTCAGCCCACAGCACCCGGAGCTAGATTCTTTTTTCTCTGAACCTTTCATATTTTCATTGTAAGTTTCATTATATAACTGGGCACTAAGCTCTCCTGTGGACAGAAAATCCTTCAGAAAGCTGAAGCAGTGTATGCACTGTATACAGTTTGTTTTGCACTAGAGTATCAATTTGCAAAAAAATCACTGCGATTAAAAAACATTTTGCAAACTTAATCCGTTGTGAGGACAGGCCTGCAGAATATCCCTGAATTCTGCAGGATTACGTTCTTGCATCTAGTCCTCGTTCCATTCTAGGTTCTGTCAAACTGCAGCAGAGCGTTGAGAGTAGTTAGTCAACACCTTACAGGGCAGTATTCTATAAAGGGGAGATCTTGCAGGGCAGTATTCTATAGAGGGGAGATCTTGCAGGGAAGTAATCTATATAGGGGAGATCTTGCAGGACAGTATTCTATGGAGGGGAGATCTTGCAGGACAGTATTCTATATAGGGGAGATCTTGCAGGACAGTATTCTATAGAGGGGAGATCTTGCAGGGCAGTATTCTATAGAGAGGAGATCTTGCAGGGCAGTATTTTATAGAGGAGAGATCTTGCAGGGCAGTTTTCTATAGAGGGGAGATCTTGCAAGGCAGTATTTTATAGAGAAGAGATCTTACAGGGCAGTATTCTATAGAGAAGGATCTTGCAGGGTAGTATTTTATAGAGGGGAGATCTTACAGGGCAGTATTCTATAGAGGGGAGATCTTACAGGGCAGTATTCTATAGAGGGGAGGTCTTACAGGGCAGTATTCTATAAAGGGGAGGTCTTACAGGGCAGTATTCTATAAAGGAAACCCTTGAGTACCCCCGCGGGGGTAACATAGGTTAAAGAAAACTATATTTTTTTATGCTATAAATCGCGTGTAAACACATAGACCGTTATCGAGTGCATTTCTTTCATTTTAGTTTAATATGAATAATGAAGATTATGATTGATCCTATAAAAACACTTGTATAAAAAGAGAGAGTTTAAGACAGGGAAGGTTTATAGTTTGATTCATGATAGAGCAGGAATGTTGCAGAAATGCACATCTGGAGAACCGGGATTGCGGGGGCGGTGGTTTAAAGGGAAGGGTCACAAAATTTGAACGCGTGTACTTTTCCCGTAAAAGTTATGGTTGCATTTATTATTATACTGATCTAGTTCTTTTCGTAAAACTAATTTTCTCAGAGACTGCGCCGACTTTGAAATGTTACCAGGCCTCGGCAATTAACCTGACTCTTGAAAAAAATGTATTTTTAATCAAAATGTGAACATTTTAGTGTTTTAAACATTTGATTTCCTTCATGCCCTTGAAAAGAGATTTAAATTTTCTTGTTTTTCACGTTTTTATGACAATATCGTAATTGACAAAAATTCGAAAAAATTCTTATCAAAAACAAATGAGACTAATTTTGTTCAGTGATATAAAAATCGTCCGTTCCCTTATTGTAATATTCGCGTCCTCTCCCTTTAAGCTTTAAATACTATAACCACCAGCTCATTCAACCTGTTTACACTGTAATGGTAAACTATTATGGAAAATTAGTAACTAGCAAGATAAGATATCTTAAAGGGAATGTTCGCTTACTTTTTCAGAGAGGTCTTAAAGGGAGTGTTCGCTTGCTCTTCCAGGGAGAGATTAAAGGGAGTGTTCGCTTGCTTTTTCAGATATATCTTAAAGGGAGTGTTCGCTTGCTTTTCAGAGAGGTCTTAAAATTAAAAGAAGTGTTCGCTTCCTTTTTCAGAGAAATCTCAAAAGGAGTGTTCGCTTGCTTTTTCAGAGAGGTCGGATTTTATGAATATCGATCGATTCAGGATATTATCAAAGAATGAGAGACTTGAAAAAGAATTGAAATTTATTTTCAAGTTCTTTTCAATCTTTTCTCTTAATTTAGAATAAAAACAGGTTTATTTATAAAACAAAATATGAATCCCTGTATTAAAGTTGAGTCCATATTTAAAACTAAGGCATATCTATACTGGATTTTATCTACGCCTCCTAAGCAACAAAGTGCAAAACTAGAATACACATTACACAGTACACTGATTTCTTGTGCTAAAACAATCTTGCAAAGATAATTTCAAACTATGATATTCATTATTGTGATAACTACAACAAATAACCGTTAAAGGAATTGAGTCTTTGCCACAAACATTATGTGGTAAGCTATAGAGATTTCTAACTGTAAACTCTTTTCGATCAAATAATCTAAATTTGAAATACCAAAGGATTACACCATTTTCCGACCCAAAGACTCAATTACTTTTGGGTATATCAAGAAAAGCATTCTCAATTGCCCAGAGTTTATTTACATTTTGTTTGGGAGGAATGTAAAAGTGCAGTACTGAGAAATATATCAGCCATTTTTTTCAGATTCCTGACTCCTGAGGTCAAAACTATTCAGATTCCTGACTAGAAGTGAGAACTGAGGGAAGGATGTTTTCTCTGTAAACAATGCGAGCTCCGTTTTTAAACATGAGCTGTCTATTCTATCATTCATCAACACGTCTTCCCTTCACACATAGGCAGGCTTTAGCTTTAAACAGTTTTATATTTTATTCATCTTTTTTTCTGGAATAACGAAGGAATCAAAAACGATAAAATATATAATATATATAAAATAACTAGGAATAAAAAATGATCAGAGCTCGCTACTTTTATATAAAAAGACGCTAATCTACAACGGCTGAACTTAATTTTGAAACGATCAAGTGGTTAATCCGTAAAAAATAGCTGACTCCATTGTTACGATCTCTCAATTACCTTTAGTGACAAGACATGTTCTTAAACCACCAGACTCCAAAATATACGGATTAATGCTTTCTGAGGGGATTAATGATACAAAAGTTTCATCCTCAAATCTCAAGTATGTGTCTTAATATTGCTACCATATCATTGGTTAAATATACATTCAGGTAGCATAGTGAGATAATTATTCTGAATTTAACTACGAAATTGTGCTTTAAAGGAAATGAGTCTTTACCACAACCGCTGATATAACCCCCATATCCTTGCAACTTGATGATGTAGACCTTAGACATGTCAAATTATGAATTCTGTTAGATAAAAAAAATACGTTTAAAATATCAAAAGTTTACCTCATCAGGTTGCAGGTTTATTTATTCTTCAAAAACCTTTAATTTCATGTATTATTGTAATTTTTCCCAATCCCCACCTTAGCTCTCTACAGTCGTCACGTAACACAAAGACAAAAATGTTAAAATTTGCCACACCCATTCTCAGATCCAGGATCCACCCTCTGAATGCATGAGATGATAAATAAACACTATTCTTTAAGACAAGTACCAAATAACTCATTGTCCCATTCAGGAGATGATTTGTGATTTAGAGGGACTGTAAAGGAGAAATGAATTATAGGCTGAAACCTGAGCATTTTAGGAGTTTATCGAGACTCAAAAGAGTTCTATATGATGTTCCTGTCTCTAGAAATTGAAACGGCCTCCGTCTGTATTACTTGACAATGATACTGCACTGCCATTGGTTGAAGTTCTGATCACGTGATACAGACGTAATAATTATATCAATAAGATCTATTAAAAATGAAAAATTATTAAATTCAAATTATAAAAGGAGCAAACCATAGTTTTCGGCTCCTCTGGGATATCGTCATTAATAATGAAAATGATAGATTGGTTGTGTATTTGCTGAATATGATCTGTTTAAAACTTAGAATCTTATTCCAAATCTGGCATATATGAGTTTGGGCAAAATTTTGACAAAGTTTTATATCAATTTCTCGGGACAGGAATACCAGATAGAACTCTTATAGGTCTCGATCAATTCCTAAAATGCTAAGAATTTAGTCTATAATCCCTTTCATTTTTCCTTTACAGTACCTTACAAGCACCCTCCATTTAAAGAGTTAAATGCGCGATTCACAACAGTACCCTAAAAGATTTAACTCAGTGTAATACTCATCTAGTATCGGTATTTCTCTTCCATAAAGATTGATAAATTCTGTAAATTTACACCCTTGCTTCTGCTGCAAAAATTTGCAAGTCACTATTTAAAAGAAACAGCACTTGATAATTATCAATTTTTAGATAAAAAAACAATGACATCTTCATCATTTCTGGTGAAACAAATGTTTAATTGACACTGCTGTTAAATGGAAATCCATTAAGATTCCCTTTAAAGGAATTGACTTTTGTTCTCAAAAAGGGTAGAGGAGTTAGGAAACATTAATGGAGGAATATAAACGTAAAGTTTTTTATCTACAATAAAATTGCAACGAATCGTTATTATAAGAGAGTTTTTGTTGACCTAAATCAGTTTTATTATATTTTATTAGTTCAATAATCAACATGTAACAAATAATAATAATAAAATAGGATAACAGGTGTTCGGGTTAAACTGCTCTGTTATGTACTTTCCATCAAGTACAATAGGTGGCAACAGAGAAATAGACCAATTATACATGACGTCACAAGTGTCAAATTTAACGAGGAAGAAAACATTTTCACCCAATAGTTGACATGTTTTCCAAAATCAAATAAAAAAAGTGTAAAACAGAAAATAAAGAACACAAAATTGCACTTATTTAACTGTAAGATATAGACTTTATTATCACTATTATTAATTATTTTGTCGGACAAATAAAACTGTTAAAACTTGAATATAAATTATAATAGGAGCAAACCTGGGATATCGTCGTTTTCAGATTGGTATTGGTTGCGTATTTGTTGAATATTATCTGTTTAATACTACAACTTTTATACAAAATTGCATACATATGAATTTTCGTATAAATTTGACACAGTTTTATATTAATTTCTCGAGACAGGAACATCAGATAGATGTCTTATAGGTATCGTTCAACCCCTGAGATTCTCAGGTTTCAGCCTATACCCCCTTTCATTTTTCCTTTACAACCCCTTTATTACGACTTGAAACTCTTTTGATATTTAACAAACTAAAAGTTGGATTTGGTCTACTGCGTCTTTTTTAGTCCGTAAATTATGTAATAAATAAAAAAAATCAATTTCATGGAATCAAAAATGTAAGGAAAAGGATAGACTGAATTACTTCCAATCGTGTCTGATATCTCATTATTTAACTGTGTAACGAGAAAGTGCAGTTACGTGATAAAGGTACTAGTTTTTATCACTGATCCAAATTAACAGGTTTTGTTGATAACTGTTTGAAGCTGAGCTTGTAATGACTGTATTTGCTCCTGCTGAATCTCAAGCATCTTCAAGATCTAATCATACCATCGTCTCAACAATACAGCTTGCAAAGAAAATTTGATTTAAAAAGTTTCTGATTTTTTATTTAAAAGAAACTGATAACTCACCAAAAGCTTAAAATTACTAATCCCTATATCTCTGCAATCAAATGCATGTAAAAATATGATATTTCATACTTTTATTTTTCATCTAGCTAAATTCATAGTTTGAAATATCAATGATCTGTAATATAAGGTTGCAAAGATATAAGATATTAGAAAAATTAGAGTTTGAGGCTAGTATTCAATATTCCCCCCCCCTCCTCAGATAAAATCTTAAATTGCTATTTCTGGAGACGGTCCTTGGAGTTGATTTTCTGATCAGCCTCCTCTTCCTTCTCCGTTTCTTTCTTCAATGCTAGATCCCTGAATAAAATAAAAATAATATAAATGAAAGATATTTTTTGTCCTTCCACCTTTTCTTATCTATCCCTCATTTTTCATTTATTCATTATTATTCTTTTTATTATTAACAGACAACCCTGCATTCGATGAAATAGAGGTCTGCGCTCCTGCTGCCGAAACATATCCATGGGATGTCCTTCAACAAGACAAGAAAGCAAACAAATTGACATGAAATCCCTGCATTTTCTGGGTTTTTTCCTTCATATTTTCTCCATAGATATATAAACTGAACCTGGCAGCCTGGAGAATATCTTGAGGAATATCTTGAACTACTCTACATCCTCCACATCCTTCCTTATCTTCCATTGGAAACTGGAAATTATTTATACATAATTAGATTTTATTAACTAAAAAATGTTTATGAATTCCAATGTTCTCCATTAGTTTTGAATAATCTAATTATAGTTTAATGGGAGAGGAAAAATGGTCGACAACCGTAGCTACAGTTCAAATAATTTAGTAATATGGGGATGTCAATTAAACTTTATTAATTAACAGTAGCTATGAACAGGACACATTCCTGAGTACGCCCCTAAATTTAACCCACAACATTGAAAGATTTCGATAAATCTGTATACTTACAGATGCTTTCTTCTCTGGTAGTAGGCTGTAGAACAGTAGGATACCAGTAGCACCTAGATATATATATTTATCAACCATTAACTATGATCCGTGTAAAGTCGTCTTTAACTTAGACCCCCCTCTCACTAAAATCCAAACCAAATAATTTTAACCTCCGGTTTCTTTGTTCTCCCTATCGGAGTGTAAATAACCTAAAGCATTGTGAATCCATCCATTTTTCAAAAGTTAAACAAAGAATATTTTCATATAAAGAATTAGTGACTTTCGTTAATAATTAATTGTCATTTATTTCAGAAGTTTAAAAACGTCTTAGTACTGTCCAACGACTTAACCCTTTGATATCAGAAAATAGATCGTAAGAATTTTTTTATTATAAACATTCATTGTAACAGTTTTATATGTTATTATTTATATAATTTTTTCAGGAAATAAAGAGAATTCTTCATTATCGGTTTCGATTTGAGGGTTATACTGTTGTTTATATGTTCAACTTGAGAATCTTGTTCCTATCCGACAACAATATTATTACTATTAAACATAGTAGTAGACTGTAGAATAGTAGGATACCAGTAGGATACCTAGATATATATATTATTACAATTAAACATAGTAGTAGACTGTAGAATAGTAGGATACCATTAACACCTAGATATATATATTATTACTACTAAACATAGTAGTAGACTGTAGAATAGTAGGATACCAGTAGGCTACCTAGATATATATATCATTAATATTAAACATAGTAGTAGACNTCCTGAGGATAAAACGTCTCATGTCTTAAATCCTGATTACCCAGCTGTCTTTTTCTTTGACGGATAAACAGAACGGACAACTCTTCCCGATGTAAGGAGTTAAGTCTAATTTTAAAAGTTTTCCACTGGATATAAAGTTCAGTTGTGAAAGCTTAAGCGATGTTCTAAATAAAATGGTTCACCCTCTGGGTTGATACAAGAAGCATTCTGAAAAATTTGTGAGTGTAGTCAGAGTGTAAACCCACAAAGGCCTTTAAGGATTGGTTCTTATCCAGATTTGAATTCAAAAGTTTCGGCTAAGTACATATTAGTCTATGTCAAAATCAGTCAACTTTTGGTACAGATAAGAGTGGTCGCTCATGTGGTGCCCAAGGACAGGTTTGTTAAACAAAATATTTTTATTTTTTATTTTTGTCGAGCTTAANGTTCAATCAGTAGAAATATCTTCAAGAAGTGTATGGCCTTAGCCAGAAACCGGGCATTGTGAAGGGCTCCAGGTATATGTAGCTTGAACCTAATATCCACTTACAAGACCATTACTACTAGCTCTGCAAGTTCTTTATAGTCCCTACGCTTCCATTTCCCTTCCTGATCAACAATTTTTATGATGATTTGCTGTTAAATTGAATGTTAATTGTTAAGTGGATTAAAATAAATTTCTGAGATGATATAAGTAAATGTACCTGGTTCATCACATTGAAGTTGATAATATTTTTGGAAAATTGCAGAGCTTCTGATTTTGCCTTAGATAGAAAGGAGCCAGGGTGTATAACAAGTTTGTTAAGTTAAGGTTTTAGGCCAGTATCTATATCAGGACCAGTGGTCTTACTTCCAGGATAATTCTTCCAAGAATGAACTACATGACGTTCATTAACATGGTGCCTACACCCAAGATGAAGAATTGGGTTCTGAATTTGATGCAGTCAAGAAGAAAATACAAATTTTTCGTGTTTTTTTAGAAAATCTACATTTTTAATATTTTATTTTTAATAATAGGGTTTAGATATCAAGAAGAATGGTTTTTTATATGTTAGTATACATCATGTAGATAACAGAGGAAGAAAAAATTGAAGATTGCTTGTTGTCTAAGGTCCCTGCTCAGGCTTTAAAAAATTGTAAAAATCGCAAAAAACGGCCGTTTTTTAAACTTAAAGCCCCGAGCAGGTACCCTTAAGCTCGTCAAAAATAAAAAATAAAAATATTTTGTTTAACAAACCTGTCCTTGGGCACCACATGAGCGACCACTCTTATCTGTACCAAAAGTTGACTGATTTTGACATAGGCTAGACTACATATAGCTGAGCTCGGGGGCTCAGTTATATCTAAATCAGCATTTGGATGGGATAGCGCTAAGCCACGTCGAATGAACTCGATATTTACAGATTAAACTTTTAAATTAAGGATCTAAGTTTAATCTCAAAAATATACGAACAATCCACCCAGATTAACAAAAGATCTTCAATTTTTCAATTTCGACAATAAGGAATTGAGTTTTTGCCACAAACTCTTTTCTAATCCTTATATCTTTCCACAAATATCAAAGGTTTACTTCATAGGTTGCAGAGATATAGGAATTATAGACTGTAGAATAGTAGGATACCAGTAGGATACCTAGATATATATANTGTCCAACTTGTCTAATATTCAATTATTTAACATTAAATATTCTTGATATTAATCTAACCTGTTAAACAGTGTCCAACTTTTCGAGCTCCAGGACAAGCAGAGTAAACCTAGAAATATTAACAATGTTGAAAAAGTTAATAAAAATAAAAAGAATTCAATTTAAAAAACACGCGAATCTTACTGTATGCCCGGACTGTTTTGAAATAAACTCCATGATGTTTTAATATGCTATTCAATAAAGAAACTAATATGAACTATTCCTTTAGTTTATAAAAGTTGAGATCAACGTGACATTTTTTATTTTTTAATAAATGTAAATGTTCTATGTACATAGATTAGTCTTTGCCACGAATCCCAATTTTCTAAAACCTATATTTCTAAAACCAAATGAATCCCAATTTTCTAATACGTATATTTCTAAAACCAAATGAAGTAAACCTTTGATATTTCAAACTTTTATTGTTTGATATAACAGAAGTAATAGATTTACAAATTCAAAGTTTGTGGGGAAAACTCAATTCCTTTATTGTTATTTCACTACAGTACATGAAAGATATGTGTTTATTAAAACGTATAAACCCAAATAAAAATGGCGATAAGTGTTTTTAGTTTTAAGTCTTTTGACTGCTATTATATGCAAAAATGTCCAAAGCAAGCTGATGGTGAAAACCTTCGATAAATTAAACTGTGACTATTTGCTCGCAGATTCGGTCCATTTCCCAGAATGCTGTGGCCTTTTGACCTCAATTTTACCTATTAATCATAAATTTCTTCTTTTATATTTTTTTGTCCCTGTGCAGTGTACAGTGTATAAGAATTGTTCAATATTTGTATCTTTGATACGTACCTGATTACAAAGTGCTAGACTAGGTAGCCGAGCTAGACATGAGACCCTTGGCCAGTGAGATAAGAAGAGAAATGGATCTCCCAGTAGTACACTCTCCATATAGGATATAGTCTCAACCCTGCTCAATACCAAACATAAACCAAACATAAACCAAACATAAACCAAACATAAACCAAACATAAACCAAACATAAACCAACCATAAACCAAACATAAACCAAACATAAACCAAACATAAACCAAACATAAACCAATCTTAAACAAAACATAAACCAAACATAAACCAAACATAAACCAAACATAAACCAAACATAAACCAACCATAATCCAAACATTAACCAAACATAAACTAAACATAAACCAAACATAAACTAAACATAAACCAAACATAAACCAAACATAAACCAAACATAAACCAAACATAAACAAAACATAAACCAAACATAAACCAAACATAAACCAACCATAAACCAAACATAAACTTCTTCCTGCATCTTTTGAAAACATTTCTAAAAAGCTTGGAAACTTTGAAAGATCTCTTAACTATCACCTTGACATTTTCAAAATGTGCTCATTACAGTATATCATCAAGCTCTCTTCTTAAGATGTGGAATAAACATAAACTAAACATAAACCAAACATTAACCAAAAATAAACCAAACATAAACCAACCATAAACCAACCATATACCAACCATAAACCAAACATAAATTGGCCACAAACACACCATGTACTAACCCTAAACTAACCATAATTAAACCATAAGTATTCTGATAAAATGTTTGTTCCTGGCAGTATATGAAACTATCTCCGCCTTCTCCATGATGATCCCTGTGTCGGAGACCGCTAGACCGTTCAACAAGTTCATCAAGATCACAACGATGAAGAACACGAAGACCAGGAGGAAGGTAAAGGACAGCCATGCTAGAAAATAATACCTTTAAGCAAATCAATGATTTCTTGCTTCATATTTTGAATTTTATTAATCTTTATAGCTTTTAAACGTGATGTCGTTAACCTTTGATATTTCAAATGTATAAAATCTGCTAAATCAAAAAGTTTGAAATCTAAAAAGTTTACACCACCAGGTTGCAAATGTAAAGGCAGTTGAAATCATAATTAGAGGCCTTTTGCCTTTTACTCAAGGTTATGAATAAGGTATGGGTTCTCACCAAGATTGCTCTCTGTATCTATCGGTATATCTGAGAACTCTAGTTCTCCAACAAACATTGTGCTCGTCTTTACTAGACTAGTCCAAGGACTGTCAAAGTAAACATAATGATCAGAGTCCGGAGTAAAGTTTGGAATATCCTGAAAAAAAACACCATTAGATCAAAACATCTCAAATCTTCTTGTTTTAAAAATAAATGTAAATACGGCAATTGTTGCATGCGCGCTCCGAAACGAACTGATTGCGCATCTCAAACTCTAGTTTTGTAATCCTTATATCTTTGCAACCTGATGGAATAAACCTAGTAAAGTTGTAAACCTTTTAGACCTGACAGATATTATGGTTCGTCTTCAAAAATTAGGTTACAAAGATGCAAGAGAAATATAAATTAGAGTGTAGTAGTCAGTTTCTTCGTAAAAGTTTAATATTCTTGATAATGCGTCGTAAAAATATTAACCTTATGAAGCATGATGTAGAACCCAAGGGCGAATGCTATAATGAAGAATGAATACCAGACAAGGAACAGGAAGAAGGTTTGAAGCACTTTGTAGAACATTGAGATATACACGTTGTATCTAAATATTGAGATATAAACGTTGTATCTAAATATTGAGATATACATGTATCTAAATATTGAGATATACATGTTGTATAAATATTGAGATATACACGTTGTACCTATATCTGATAAACAAAAAAAGATATTCAGAATAACCCTTATAAATATTATTCAATTTAACCCCAAATTAAATAAATAAATTGATTACTGTAAGTCAAGCAGTAGGCCTATACCTGGAGAGTCTGGGATGTTTTGCAACCAGGATAATCATCTCCGTCCAGGATAGAAGGATACAAACTGCCGCAATATGTCGGAGAACTACACAATCTCCGTCCTCCGTAGGGTCGAGGGTATCCGGAGCAAACAGGAGAACTCCAAGCAAACCTTCAAAACAAAATGGGGTGAATGCTTTCGTCACGATCTAACAATTATTTGATCAAAATTAGTCGGAACTAAGAAACGGAAAACTTGCAAGAAATTCCAATTTTATAATTCCTATATCTTTTCAACCTGATGGTGTAAACCTTTGATATAAAAAACTTATAGAATTAATAGATTGTAATATTAAAGGTATAAGACGTCAGGTTTTAAAAATATTTAGGAAAGGTATAAAAGAGATGGATCTATTATCAGATATATAAACCATGTAAATACATTTATGAAGAAAAGAATTGGTAGACATAAAGCACTATTTGAAAAAGAATCTAGAAAAGGGAAAAAGGAAAACCTACCTAACATGGCAATTTCCAAGAGATTCTCTAAACTGAAAACAAAAGTATTAAAAAATCAGCTGATGTGTGTAAAAATAATAAAAAGTATTACATTCCACGAACTGAATCCTGAACACGCATTGCACGAAAAGAATTTATTGAACGAAAAACTTTTGAAGACAATTAATCAGAAATTATTTAGAAAAAAATATTTTAAATTACCTGAAGAAATAGCGTTTAAGACTTGCCGTCATTTGAAATATTTCCCTAAAGTGGTTTCCTTTGTTTTATATTTTCATATTTTCATATTTTCATATTTTCATATTTTATATATTTTCATATTTTCATATTTTCATATTTTCAAATCACTCTGTTTTGTAAAATGGGGATATTCCAGTAATAGAATAGATTATTCAGCACAGCTTAGGATTTTTTACTCCCTGTATCTTTGAAACCTGATTGTGTAAACTTTTAATAATTTTGATATTGACTATTTCAGATAGCAAAACTAGATAACCTAATTAAATCGATATCAGGATTTAAGAATTAGAACACTAAAACTTACGGAAAGTAATGAGTTTCATACCTTTTTAAATTTTGAATTAAAATTATACTTTTTGCAATTTACAAACAAAAATACAAAGCAGAGAACTTGCTGTTAATAACTTAATAAATAAAAAAAATTGTATTTAACGTCAAATACATTTATTAGTAATTATACTATTGAGATAGAGGAAAGGACTCCCTTAATGTCAGCGTAACAAAGAGAAGAGTTATAACCCACCACAGCCCACCTGAACAATCATCAAATTGAATAAAAATCTTATGAATTAAAAACATTTTTTAACATGATTTTGTAAAGTTTAGTTTGCTTTATCAAATCAAACAAAACAAAAATCATCAGAAAATAGTTTTAATCAATCCCTGTTTTGCAGTAAATGTTTAAAAATATGGTTTTCAATTCTAGAAATATATATTCTTGTTGAAACACGTGGTAGAATAGAAAATACCTTCTCCAGTAATAAAGATAAGTATGATCAGGGCTGCCAGAAACATCTCGAACCAACTGGAGAGAAAAGCAATCATAAAATCCGTCCCGGACTTACATCCACACTCTCTGAAGATATTGTTAGATAAGTTTTATAAATTGAATTCTCAGTTTATAAAAAAGACACTGATTAAACTCTTATTTTCAAACCTCATATAATTGCGACCTGATGTCGTAAACCATTCATATTTCAAACCATGAGTTCAGTTAGAATATTTAAAGTTTGAGAGTTTTCTTTAATTTTTTTATTTTTTTTAAGAATTGGGGAAATATTCCCACAACCTCTATTTTCGGAGGTGTTTAAATAATTTTGTATGTTTTTGTTATATTTCATAAATAAAAAATTACTCTCTTACTTAAAAACACTTTAGGTTGCAAAGATATATGGATTTGAAAATAAGAGTTTGAGTCGCTTAATCAGTTTCTCTCTCGAACCTGAATAGATCTCTAATCGCGTAGATGAGAAGGAAAATGGATTCAATAACGAATAAAACCATCCAGAAACCAAGCTGGGCTCCGCTATCAAACCTGCGAATTTACATTCAGTTTAAAAAGCAATGAAAGCCGTCTTTGAATAAGATTTAGTTGAAAATAAAGCTTTAAATTTGTAATTTTTAACTAACATTTTTTTAACTCACTGTTAAAGACACATTTTTAATGATTTAGCAGTTTTACAAATTATAAAATCCTCAGTCACGTTTCTTAGAAAAATACTTACAAAGACGACTTAATCTGAATCTATTTCTTATCCAATAAATTTCTGAATCTATTTCTTGTCTATTACTATCTGCATAGCTATTTCTTGTCTAATAAATTTCTGAATCTATTTTTTTGTCTATTGCTATCTGAATCTAAAGCCACTTAATAATTATAATTTTATAAATGTATACGATTCCTTTTGTTTTGTTTAATAAAGTATTTGAGAAGAACTATCTGAATCTATTTCTTGTCTATTGCTATCTATTTTTTATTACTTGTTCCTATCTGAATCTATTTCTCTTCTTTTCCTATCTAAATCTATTTCTTGTTTATTCCTATCTGAATCTATCTCTCTTCTTTTCCTATCTAAATCTATTTCTTGTCTATTCAAATCAAATCAAATCACAAGTTGCAGGGATAGCCAGAGACTCCAGTAGTGGATTGGAGTTTGTGTCCTGGTTTTCCAGACCAGACTTCCGTTTTACGAAAATTTTCTCATTTTTACTTTCAAATTGTCAAGTACCCAGCAACACAACCAAATTTGAGCCATTTCCCACTTTAGAACACCTGTCATTCAAGAGTTGGCAGTCTTGTCTTTTCCTATCTGAATGTATTTCTTGTCTATTCCTATCTGAATCTATTTATTTTCTATTACCATCTGTATCTATTTCTTGTCTACTCCTATCTGAATCTATTTCTTGTCTATTCCTATCTAAATCTATTTCTTTTCTATTCCTATCTAAATCTATTTCTTGTCTATTCCTATCTGAATCTATTTCTTGTCTTTTCCTATCTGAATCTATTTCTTGTCTTTTCCTATCTGAATCTATTTCTTGTCTTTTCCTATCTGAATCTATTTCTTGTCTTTTCCTATCTGAATCTATTTCTTGTCTTTTCCTATCTAAATCTATTTCTTGACTATTCCTATCTGAATCTATTTCTTGTCTATTCATATCTGAATCTATTTCTTGTCTATTTCTAGCTGAATCTATTTCTTGTCTACTCCTATCTGAATCTATTTCTTGTCTATTCCTATCTAAATCTATTTCTTTTCTATTCCTATCTGAATCTATTTCTTGTCTATTCCTATCTGAATCTATTTCTTGTCTATTCCTATCTGAATCTGTACCTGGGATGTTTACAGAACTGTGTTGAGTTCGAAGATGATACTGCTGGAGGATCCAGGGCTCCAGTATCTAAACTAGGCTCGGAGGAGTTTAGTTTAATCCCTCCGAACCGCGTGAATATATACCAAGTAAGGCAGGTCACAAACAGCAAGTATATCCGAATATTCCGGCTGAAAAACCTGAAAAGAATATTAAGCAAGATAAAAAGTGAATACGGACAAGTTTACTCTGTTTGTATACTATAATTTTCTTGTTTTACTAAGTACAACCATATGCAGTCAAAACATAAACAAACAAAATGTGAACATAGCAGACGAAACTCTTACAGATTACAGCTTTCTCAGTAGGTATCACTATACTAAAATAAAGAATTATTTAAAAAGACGATATCGAATTCGTCACTGAATCCCATGTTTATTGGGACACCCTGTACAAGGGGATTTCTAAAAGTAGATTTTTAAAATTTGTTTTCCAAAACAAAACAAGGTACAACAAAAAGATAATTCTAATATTTATTAACTTGTTATTAAATGACTTTTGATAAATACATTATTTATCTCCAGTATTATCAATTTTTCTCTGCTTAAGGAGGCTCTAAAACAACCTCCAAACTAAAATATTTGGACAATTTGACCTTTTTACATCACATGAAGGACGAATTTAATATTTTCAAAGCTGGAATCTATTCTACAGATCTTCTCATATATCTCTAGGGTCCTTCAAAGTTATTACAACTGGTCAGAAACCATAATTTAAATTATAAAAAAGAATTATTTTAGGGAGAAAAATACTGAAAAATGCCGTGTTTTTGGCACTGTATGACCTGTTTGATAGAGACCTGTAATATTTTTTCTGGGTGTAGCCATTGGTGATTCGGAAATTATCAAATGTCAGACAGTAAGTTAGAAATTGAGATATTTTCTTATTCAATATTACGAATTTTAATTTAAGCACAAATGAAAAAAAACGACTTCTAAAAATCAGCTTGTACACTAACCTTCTAACCCTCTGCCACTTTAACCAAAGAAAACTTGTAACAGTCGGATGACGAAGAAGATGCCTAAAAAAAAAAATTTAGAAAAATTCCACATTTACTAAACTATTAGGGTTTTTGGTTCTGTACCTGTGAGATTTGGATTGAGACATACACCATAAACTCTCAGTCTCTGGTAATCCTGCTCTCTCTAGTTCATCCTGGAACCAAGCAAACCTATCTTACAGTAGAACAGAAACTAGGAAATATCTTCATGTTTGCTCTACAGTGTAACTGTAATCTGTAACTTATTGTTTTATTTTAATTATAATAAAGGGATTGTTGACATATTTTCCAGGGACCCTGTATTTATAGATTTCCAACAGTGCCTTATTTTTCAGATTTAAACTGGATTATTTTCATTTGCAGTTCTCAGTGACTTGTGCATTTACGCTTCATAAACAATGAAGAAAATTGGCAGAATTAAACACTTTTTAGATAGAAATCAATATCTTCCTCATTCTTATTCAATATTCTCAGATAAAGGATTTAAGAGTACAGTTCTGAATCGGACATGCCACACATTTTTTTTAACGGAGGGTCAGTTAAATTACGTCTACAGTCCCTTTAAGCAAGATAACTATGGTTTGCTCCGGGTTCCTGTCTATGTTGATCCCATTCTTCACTCTGGTAATCATCTACTGGTGGAGCTAACCAACTGTAGTTAAACTCAACCTTAACAAAAAACAAAACTGAGCTGGTAATTATTGAAATGCTACCTCACGTTTTTATCAAGGTAAATTAAATTTTTAATACAAATTTTATTTTAATACAAATTATTTTTTTGCCCGTTGAAGTTTAGAAACACTTTTAAAAAAATCGATTTTAGATAAATAAAATTTCGATTTTTTAAAGCCCAGTGCAGGGTACCAATTGGGTCTTAAAAAATTCAGCCAATTCGGTTTAGCCAGCTATTGCTATATACATATATATCCATAGACACAGTGTTTCGTCCTATTAGGGCTCATCAGTATGGCTCTAATCATCAGATTTTTGATTTTGCAGTTGACGGGGCTTGAACCATGAATCCTTAGATTATGAATCAAACACGCTAACCACTGCTCCATCAAATCCTGATGATTGGGTAATGAAATAGGGACCAGAGAGCTCAACCAACTCATTATATATATATATGTATATATATGAGCGAAGAGCTTTCTTATATAGATAGTTGAAAAAGCTTTTCTCTTTTCGTAAAAACATTTTCACAGATATGAATCAATAAAAAGTTAACATTTTAATCAATGAATTAGAAAAAATGCTTTTTTGAAACTACAGGGTGAGTAAAAAACCGGGATTATCGGTGTTTGGACAAAATATTCAAAATTTTAGTTTTGTTCGGATTTTAGACACGAACAAATAATCTATATATAAATTTGGCTTGTCTGTCTGTTTATTTGTATCCAATAAACGTCAAAACGGCTGAACCGATCGGGCCCAAATTTTTTGTGGGAATCACGTGACCACAGGGAAGGTTTATGAATGATAAAAATTTTTAAAAAATGTGTTTTAAAGGTTTTTAATTTCGTAAAAAAATTTAAATTCTTGAAAATCCGCGAATTTTTTTTTTAAAAATCCGCAAAATTTTGTTCTTCTTTGTTTTAAAATTTAAACAAAAAGAACATGTACACAATTTAAATAGAAGATGGGCGAGAAGCGCCCTAAAAGCCTAGAAAGAAGGGCGCGAAGCGCCTTGAATTTCTAGTATGTAATAAAACAATCAAATTGAAAGAAACAATCCACGAAACCGAATTTTATGAAAAATTGTTGGGAAAATATAATAATTGAAGATTTACCTTAAAATCTTGATGTAAAGGATGGTTCTCGTGGTTGGAGCAATGGTTGAGAAACTCCTCTAGGGTTTCAGGAAGGATTCGACTCAGAGGTATTTCTCCGCGGGAATTTCTGACTCCAATATTGGCACCCAACTACATATATATCAAAATTATACTAAATTGCTAAAGGAATTGAGTATTTGTCGCAAACTCTGATTTTCTGATCCCTATATCTTTGCAACCCAACGTCGTAGACTTTATGATATTTCAAATTTTAGATTCTGTTAGAACAAGTAATCAGAGTTTGAAATATCAAAGATTTACACCATCATGTTACAAAGATGTAAGTATTAGAAAATTTGAGTTTGTGGCAAAGACTCAATTCTTTTATTTTTGATTGAAACTTTTTGAATTTTGACAGAATCTAGCAAAATTTAAAAATAAGAAAAGAAATAGACTGAAATGGCATTATTTGACATGAGACCTACCTTCAAAAGTTTAGTTATATCAGCTTGAGACCACATCTGTGCTGCGTAGTGAAGAGGAGTATAGCTGAGAATATCTCTCTTGTTGATAACCCGTCCTAGCTGAGATCTAACCTGCTCACTGCTCAGCAGGATGTTTAAACATTTCCTGTAATCCTCATCCAACCCCTGAGTAGTTTAATGTTAAAATATTTGGAAAAGAATTTTCACAAAATATAATTATCAATTTTTAGAGTGGCATGTCTGATTGCCAACGGTACCATTTAAACATTTGTCTGATCAAGGATTAACAAGATATCCTTGTTTGTGTGACTTAATTTATAATCCATCATCGAGATTTCTCTTTAAAATACCAGCGCATTTATGCTTCTGAGACATGGAGGAAATTTAAGGAATTCAACACTTTTTTGGTTAAAAAATGACAATATCTTCTTTCTTGTTACTCAGATAGAAGTCTAAAAAAAGGGCACCCTTGTTAATAGGGCATTCCACTCTTTAAATGGGGGGGGGGGGNTATTTTTTTTACAACCGTAGAGACCCAACCTTGAGTTCAGAATCAGAACCAAGTCCCAGAAGAGCCTTGCTGTGACTTTTCTTGAGAATCATATGAAGACAAGTCTCCTGTGTATCCCGGCTCCAAACAGCAAAGTTCGGAGAAACCTTAGAAACCTTTCCCAGGCTCAGAGCTGTTTCAAGTTCCTCGACAAATACACTCAAAACCTTAAAAATTTAAATTAATAAAATTTTTCTGTTAAACATTTTTTGATTCGAATATGGATTTAATTTTAACCTGATAGTGACCTCGGTACGAGGCTAGGAGGACGGGTCGGACTGGGTTCTCCACGGAGTAAAGGTTTGGGTTTACTCCGTGGTTCAGGAGCTGAGTAACAAATGTTGGAAGGTTTGCTAAAACTGCTTTCTGTAGACAAGTGTAACCTCGGACACTTTTCTCACTCACATCCCTAAACACAATTTCTTAGAAATAGGGTCAAAGAAGATTTGTGTTGGTAATTAATCAAAAAGGTAAAAAACCTCTTATTGTTAAAAAAGTAAAGTAGGTTTTTTTAAATTAATATTTATCGAAAAAAAGTCAAAAGTTTGACGTAGGAAGAACGGGGTTCATTTCATAATCTTTTATGTTTTCATTTAAATAGAAATAAAGAAATCAATTTCAGTGTAGAGTATAAAGTGTTAACCTGAGAGAAACCTTTGTAAACGTATATCTGAACCTGAACCCTGCAGAAGATACCTGAGAGAAACCTTTGTAAGTGTCTATCTGAACCTGAACCCTGCAGAGGATACCTGAGAGAAACCTATGTGAGTGTATATCTGAACCTGAACCTTGTAGAGTATATAGTGTATACCTGAGAGAGAGAAACCTTTGTAAGCGTATATCTGAACCTAGAGTATATAGTGTATACCTGAGAGAAACCTTTGTTAGTGTATATCTGAACCTGAGCCTTGTAGAGTATATAGTGTATACCTGAGAGAAACCTATGTGAGTGTATATCTGAACCTGAACCTTAGTGTAGAGTATAAAGTGTATACCTGAGAGAAACCTTTGTAAGTGTCTATTTGAACCTGAACCTTAGTGTAGAGTATAAAGTGTATACCTGAGAGAAACCTTTGTATGTGTATATCTGAACCTAAACCTTAGTGTAGAGTATATAGTGTATACCTCAGAGAAACCTTTGTGAGTGTATATCTGAACCTGAACGCTGTAGAGTATATAGTGTATACCTGAGAGAAACCGTTGTGAGTGTATATATGAACCTGAACCTTGTAGAGTATATAGTGTATACCTGAGAGAGAGAAACCTTTGTAAGCGTATATCTGAACCTGAACCCTGTAGAGTATATAGTGTATACCTGAGAGAAACCTTTGTTAGTGTATATCTGAACCTGAGCCTTGTAGAGTATATAGTGTATACCTGAGAGAAACCTTTGTGAGTGTATATCTGAACCTTAACCTTGTAGAGTATATAGTGTAATCTGAGAGAAACCTTTGTGAGTCTATATCTGAACCTGAACCTTGTAGAGTATATAGTGTATACCTGAGAGAAACCTTTGAGAGTGTATATCTGAACCTAAACCTTAGTGTAGAGTATATAGTGTATACCTGAGAGAAACCTTTGTGAGTGTATATCTGAACCTGAACCTTGTAGAGTATATAGCGTATACCTGAGAGAAACCTTTGTGAGTGTATATCTGAACCGAAGGAAATCCTTCCTCTCAATATATTGAAACAAGGTTTCAACTGTGTTGGCCACTGGTCTCTCTTTGACTAGAAACAGAAACAGTACATATGTATTTAAAAAAAATAATGGTAAAAGATGAAAATAAAAATAAAAACCTTTAATTTTTGATAAATCCAGATAGGGGAGATTCTCTTGAATAACTGTTCGAGGAGTTGTTCTTCCACACTAATAAAACATAAAACGATTTGTTTGCTTTTGATATAGAGAAATTTAGAGCTTTTATTAGATTCTGTCTGTTTGTTTTAAATCAATTATCCTCGAATTATCCTGATTTTTCTCTAAATACCTTGATATCCAGGCTAGCACCTTGCTCAACAAGCTTCCTAACACACTCAACATGTTTCCCTCTTGCAGCCAGGAACAATGGAGTTCTTCCTCCTGAACCATCTCGGGGATCAATCTAGAAACAATACAGGAGTAAATATACTTGTATACCTGGTTCCTCTAGGAGTATACTTGTACACCTAGTTCCTCTCAGAGTATACCTGTATACCTGGTTCCTCAAGGAGTATACTTATATACCTGGTTCCTCTATGAGTATACCTGTATACCTGGTTCCTCAAGGAGTATACTTGTATACCTGGTTCCTCTATAAGTATACCTGTATACCTGGTTCCTCTAGGAGTATACTTGTATCCTTGGTTTCTCTAGGAGTATACTTGTATACCTGGTTCCTCAAGGAGTATACTTGTATCCTTAGTTTCTCTAGGAGTATATACTTGTAAACCTGGTCCTCTAGGAGTATACTTGTATTCCTGGTTCCTCTAGGAGTATACTTGTATACCTAGTTCCTCTAGGAGTATACTTGTATACCTGGTTTCTCTAGGAGTACACATGTATACCTGGATCCTCTAGGAGTATACTTGAATAAAATTACCTGTATGTCTGGATGTTCTAGGAGAAGGTTGAGGCAGGTCAGCTTGCCCCGCTCTGCAGCAAGATGAAGAGGAGTTAAACTTGAAGGTTGAAGTGTACAGTTTATATCAGCTTTGTTCTTTTCATCACCTGGAATAAATAAAATATAGAAAAAGGAATATATATATAGTATTTTATACATTTAAAAATCTATAAGTTTTGAATATGTAGAGTTATTAACCGGAAATCTAAGTTTTGATAAAGATTTTGATTTAAAGTTGATAAAAGTTCAGGAGCTGGTTGTATAATGTATATTAGGGTGTAAAGATGACGAGAAAAGAGGAAGATTGGGAAAAATGTCTCAGGTTTATTTTCTTTGACATTTTTCACAGTGTAATTACGCAAATTAGCAACATTTTTCACAGTGTAATTACGCAAATTAGCAACATTTTTCACAGGGTAATTACGCAAATTAGCAACATTTTTCACAGGGTAATTACGCAAATTAGCAACATTTTTGGGGGGACCTTGCAAGGTTCAAAAGAATGTGCATTCGTATCTAAAGGCTTGGCCAAAAAATATTAAGAATATCAACAAATTCAAAACTGTAGATATACTGTAAGGATTTAAAATTTCAAGTGAAATAGGGGTACAATGCACGCTTAATTTCTTAAACATAAATATGTAGATTGACTCACAATAAGAAAATGGTTAACACAAATGTTCTCTGTGTAATGTGTATATTGTATATTGTGTATATTGTATATTGTGTATATTGTATATTGTGTATATTGTATATTGTATATTGTATATTGTATATTGTATATTGTGTATAAAGATGGCTGAAACATGCAACAGGAGATGAGAAGTTTTGGAAATATGATCTTGACAAGGTTCAAGAAGAAAGGGAGTTGTATAAACTATTAAAGGTAAACATCTTAAAGGGAGTATTCTGGAAAAATGAAAAGGGGGTATATGTTGATACTTATTCACTAAAGGGAGTATTCGGGAAAAATGACAAGGGGGTATATGTTGATACTTATTCATTAGATCATGAGAACGATGCCAATAATCATGCTAAATGTTTCTATAAAGATAAGCAGTTACAAATCCTTTCATTTTCTACATGGGACGGGATTCTGCTGAGCAGATTAATCTACTGTTTAATGGATAAGATGGGATTCTGCTGAGCAGATTAATCTACTGTTTAATGAATAGGATGGGATTCTGCTGAGCACATTAATCTACTGTTTGATGAATAAGATGGGATTCTGCTGAGCACATTAATCTACTGTTTAATGAATAGGATGGTTTTCGGCTGAGCAGATTAATCTACTGTTTAATGGATAGTATGGGGTTCTGCTGAGCAGATTAATCTACTATTTAATGGATAGTATGGTGTTTTGCTGAGCAGATTAATCTATTGTTTAATGAATAGGATGGTGTTCTGCTGAGCAAATTTAATCTACTGTTAAATGGATAGTATGGGGTTCTGCTGAGCAGATTAATCTACTATTTAATGGATAGTATGGTGTTTTGCTGAGCAGATTAATCTACTGTTTAATGAATAGGATGGTGTTCTGCTGAGCAGATTAATCTACTATTTAATGGATAGTATGGTGTTCTGCTGAGCAGATTAATCTACTGTTTAATTAATAGGATGGGGTTCTGCTGAGAATATTAATCTACTGTTTAATGAATAGGATGGGGTTCTGCTGAGCAGATTAATCTACTGTTTGATGAATAGGTGTTCTGCTGAGCAGATTAATCTACTGTTTAATGAATAGGATGGTGTTCTGCTAAGCAGATTAATCTACTAATTAATGAATAGGATGAGGTTCTGCTGAGCAGATTAATCTTCTAATTATTGGATAGGATGGGGTTCTGCTGAGCAGATTAATGAGATGGAAGAAACAAGATTCACTTAGTGATAAAACTATAAACTACAATACTAATAATGTAAGAATATTTTCTTTAAATTAAAATAATCCAGCTTCGAATCCAATGACAAGGTAAAATAAAAAGAACTTCTCAATTCATCTTTTTCAGCTGTTTGATGAGATCTTAAAAGGAACTGTCGTTGAAATTTCAAATTACCCTCCATTACAACAAAAAGACATGCCCGATTCACAACTGTACCCTTGAAACCTTAATCTTATCCAGCCTGTGGAAGATAACGTCGTTTTTCTAGTTTAAAAACTGTTTAATTATGATAATTCGTACGGTCTTACATTGTTTTTCTGCATAAAAAATGCGCAAGTCACTTTTGTTCTAAAAAAACCACAATTGAAAATAATCAGTTTTAATTATAAATATGGCTAATTTATGCTTGATCAGACAAAACTTTTAATGGTACCGTTGTTAATCTTACATTCCACTCTAGTAATCGAGGGTCCCTTGAAATTACGTCTACATACAGTCCCTTTAAACTTTGTTTAGATTTCAACTCTGGAGCAAGCAAACATCAAGTTTTTTATTGACGATGTTCAGGTTTAAAATAAATATTTATAGCATTATTATTTTATATAACTTTATAACACATCGTAACAAAATAGTGTGGTGATTTTTTTTAGATTTGATTTGCTTACAGAAAAGCAGAAGTAAAAAATTAAAATTACATTGACACGACACTTAAATCAAACTGCACTTAAATCAAACTGCACTTAAACCAAACTGCACTTAAACCAAACTACACTTAAACCAAACTGCACTTAAACCAAACTGCACTGAAACCAAACTGCACTTAAACCTAACTGCACTTAAACCTAATCTCTTCTGGGTTTCTCTGTATATGCATATTTTCTATAATACAATTCTTTTTTAAAATTTAACAGTGATTTCACATATTTAGAAATTTTACAAGATAATTAATATCTTTGAGAAGCATGGACCGTCTGTATTCAAGTCGTACGCAGATTTTTACATTGTTCTTAAAGGTACAGTTTTACATCTTTTAATATTAAATAAACAGATTTTAAAAAAACCTCTTTCTCAGGACTGTCAAAGCTGTCCTACAAGTTAAGCCCGAAACAGGTTTGATCTTAGACTCTTTTTTTCAAGTTTAGATTAATAAAATTCAAATATTAAAAAATATTTGATCCTAGTACTTCACCGTTGGAAAAAAGTCATCGGAAAAAAGAGTAACAGGAGAGGAGGAACTAAACCAGGTTCTTTTCAACTTCATTTTTTAAAATTAATTTCCACTCCAAACTTGTAATCACAAAGCTAAGGTAACTTGACTTGAAAAATATTTCCAATCATGAATTAGGATTGTTTAGCAAATACAATAAGACAATTGGGAATAGATATAATCAAATCGGCCTCTAAAATGGCAATGCCCGAATTACACCCAGGAACAAACAGAAAAACGATGGTATCTTCCACATTTTTGATCAGATTAAGGTTTCAAGGTTACCGTAGTTAATCGGACATTGTCATCTTTGCATGGAAGGTCACTTGAGATTACGCTTACAATCTCTTTAATTGCTAAAACCCCAAATTCAATGGTGCTTTATACTTTACCGCCCCCCTCTCCGGGATATATTCACATCTCAAGGATAAAATGACGTCACATTTTTTAAAAATCCTCGCGTAATCTAAGGAATAAATATTACGAAGGAATTGAGTCTTCTCCACAAACTCAAATTTCTAATCCATAAATTTTAATTTAATTCAATCTAAAATTAATCATTTAGATATTACAACATATGTCGAATTCATTTCGATGCATCGTCGTTTAAAGAACATCGCATATAAAAAGAATACAAATATTATGAAATATCAACTATATAGGAATATGCATCGAATTAGATTCGATATTTACATATTTTAATATCTGAAACCGAATTTAAAGAATTTAAGCCGCGGCTTAAATATGAGACGCGGCTCAAATATGGTTGGTTCCACTTAAAATTCTATTTCAATTCGATATCAGCTTATACCCAATTTCATTGTTCGCGAACACTTCCTTTAAACCTTTGACATTCAAAACTTAGATTTTGATGTAACAGAATTCATAGATTGAAATATCTAAGGTCTACAACATTAGGTTGCAAAGATATAGGGATTTGAACACCAGAGTTTGTGGCAAAGACGTGACTCCATTCTGGAAGGAAAGTTAACACGCGCAGTGCTGTTCAGGCTAAGTTTTGTTTACATTCCACCCAGAAACTGCAGTACACATTAATTTATGGAAGTTCCTCTTATATTTCTTGTTGTAATCTTTCAATTCAGAATACTTTACATATTCATAATATTTTCTTGGTACTTTATTTACAAATAAACTTACATTGTGTGTTTTTTGAAAAATGTTTTTGTAGGAGACGGACGAGAGTGAATATCTTCTTTATATTGCTTCAAATTACTACGAGGAGGTGAACAAATATTTTTAAAAAACTTAATAAAGGAATTGAGTTTTTGCCACAAACTCTGATTTTCTAATCACTATATCTTTGGAACCAAATGTTGCAGACCTTAGATATTTCAAACTATGAATTCTGTTAGATCAAATAATCTGAGTTTGAAATATCAAAGGTTTACAACATCGGGTTCTAAAGATATTGAGGTTTAAATATTTGATTTTGTTCCAAAGACTCAATTCCTTTACAAATTATTTAACTTTTTTCTTTTTTCATTTAGAAAACCTGCAAAACCCTTACACAATCGATGGAAGAATTACGTAAGTAAAATTTTTAAATACAAAAAATGGTTTTATTAACAAAATTGTTTTCAGCTCGGTTTCACAAAAATAATCTGGAGAAAGTCTTGAAAGTTATTCAAGAATTTTATGTCAGGAATTCTATATTAGCATATCTTCTAATTATGGAATTAGCTTACAGGGGATAGTTTAAATATTTTTCTGTGAAAGTATGTACAGTAAATTGTACACTCTATGGAAAATGTACGCATTATTGTAAAATATGTACATATGCAAATTAGAATTAAACCCCAGTTTGAAGAATAGAAGTCCAAGTAATCTCCTGATTACTCAACTCCTTCCCACGCTTAGGATTAAAGAACTTATCAATATTCATGCAGAGTTCGGTATATTATTTTTAATGAAAACAATTCTAAAATTAATTCATAGTTTTTAAAAATTTATGATATTTTAAAGATATATATTAATTATTTACAGTTTTGTGATTTTACTTGACCTAAGGTTCCTCAGATAAATTTTGCAAAGTTGAAACCGTGGTCGAGTAAACAGATTTATTTCCCGAAAAAGCAGTTGTACACAATTTTATCGTCTTTTGAGATGAAAATGTGCAAATTTTTAACGAAAACTTCGCAGAGATGTATGTTATTTTACTTAATTGTCCCAAGGGACAAAAAAGTAATTTAAAATTCCGCTGCTACTAAAAAGGCGTTAAAAATATTTCAAGGCATAAAATTAATGTTCAAAATCATTTTTATATTTGTTTTATGAACGATTGTATGCTGTGTACTGTGTAGGGTGTCCCAAAAAAACAAATTTGATTACTTTATGATCGTTTAGAAAAAAATACCAAAATTTACATTAAAAAAATAAAAATTATGATTTAAGGAACCTTGCTGTATGGACACCGATCTCTACTTTTACCTAATAAAACCTAAATGAAAAATTATTTATTTTAATGTTTCCTTTTCAGTAATTATTAATATACTATTTTTAGATTCTGAGCTTGAAATAATCCAAGTGAGTAAAATTACAAGATTATTTTCATCCTGTTTACCAAGAAATATTTTTCTTAAATATTTATCAAGTTAATAAATATCCATTTAAAACTGGTTTAAATGTACATTTAACGGCTTTATGATTTATTTTATTATTATTTTTTATCTAATTTGTTTTTTTACTGATTCTTGTTTGTTCAAAACTTTAAGTCCAAATGTGGTATGATTAAACCAAAAATATACCAGGAAAAATATAAAAAAAATTTGTCTCGGAAATTTCTTTTTCAATTAACATCAAAATAATTGAATTTCTTCTATAGTATTTAATTTAGATTGAGTATGAGAAGCTATTTGATATTTTTGATAAATATAAAGACAAATTTCTAGTGTATTGTGATGTCATGTGTCAACTACAGGTTACATGTTTATATCAATCAATTCTAAAATTCTAAGCTGCGGCCTTGACTGAAAAACAGAATTCACTAACCAAGCAGTTTATGATGTAATGTCCATAAAGTTTATGCCGATGACATCGTTATTACCGAAAATATTGACGATTTGGGAATTTTCTTCAAAAATGTTTCTGAAAAAAAAATACTAAAATTTTTCTCAAAATAGTGGCTACACCTTCACTTATCAGATTATTTTAAAAATCTATTTTTTAAATCAGCTGTTTTTAAATCAGCTGACTATATCATATGAATTAAATTTTTTTTAAAATAAATGTAGATTTTAAATTTTCAGAACGTGATTTGCACAATACAGGATAAGCTCAAAGAAAGCAAAGATTTCCAAGACGAAGTTGTAGCTGTGGAGAGAGAAATTGATGAAAAGGTTAAACCCCTAAATAGGATTAATTCTATACAGATTTTAAAGGGATTGTATGTATACGTATTTTAAAGAGTTAAAGACCAATAAAGGGATTGCATACAGATTCTAAAGACCTTTAAAGGGATTGTAAATGAATATTAAAAGAATACAGAAAACGCCTCAATTTTATATCTTAGAAATTATGTTAAACTTCAGAGATACATTTTTAAAAAGTTATAAACTAACTTATTGCCTATTTTAATTCATTCTGCTTTAAATATATACATATATAATATATATGCATTATTATAGTGTACGTTTCCCATAGCCGTCCATCTACTTTTGACACTGAGTATAGATATTTGAATAAATGTTACAATTACCTACTCATTACATATGATAGATTTGTTATTTCTTTTATCCTACAGAGTATCGGACAAATTGGAGGATTTTTAATAACACGAACAGCACCGGGCACTTGAGCGCCTTGAGCTAGTAATTAATGAAGAATAAAATTTAGTACAAACATCTCCGGGATAATTCAAGAATCAGCAGTATCTTAACCCTGGTTCAAACAATAGCTCAGCATATTCCAAGGTTTCCACTAATATTAGGTAAACCTTTAATACAGTTTATACAGGGTGTCCCGATAAACATGGGAATTAAGAGTCGACGATTTTGATATCGTCTTTGAAAATGATTTTTTGATTTAGTATGGTGATGCCTACTAGGAAAGCTATAATCCATTTGTTTCGTTTTCTTGAGTTAAGAATTAGTTTGTTTATGTTTGATTCCATACTGCATTGTACTTGATAGTCCTCTTTGCTGTTTATTTTACAGAAATGTTAAAGAACTTCATACAATGGTTTGCAGATTAACATTACCATTTACATAAAATATACCCTTGCAGACGCAATTTTTAAACCTTTGTAATTAGGCAATACAACGCTAATTGTTTAAAAAGACGAATGATCCAAATTCCCATGTTTATTGGGACACCCCCTGTTATAGTGTACACTGCGGCAGTCGACATGCATGATTTCGATTTTTGAGACATTAAAAGACTTTACCTAATTGGAATTTACGACCGAAGAACTGAAAGAGGAACATTTTCTATCGTTGATCTGTATTTTATGTTTCAGCTGATATCTCGAAAAAGGGGGAAACCACGGGACGGACACGAATTAGATATTCAGCTGAAAAAGCGTATGATTTAATGTTCGATCTTGTCTCTCATATGGAACGGTATGCTGTGGATAATGAAAAGATAGGTAATAACATATGAAAAAAGATGTATTTATAAAGATGTAGAAAAGGACTACTAGTGGGCCTGCGTGGAGGCAAAATTAGGCACCGTAGGTCAGAACTTTTGTAATGTTAATTTCTTATTCAATCCTTATTCTTTGTGAAGATGCATGTTAGGTTTTTGTCAATAATAGTTTCATTCGTCTACTGCAAACCTCGAACAACCTTAGAGATAGTCAGCTGAATTTTTCAAGAAAAAAGACTGTTTCATTCAAATAATGTAAGACGAGTTAAATCATTGAAGTATTAAAACGAGAAAGCAGAGCTTTTAATGGCCAGTGAACTTTGTGCTTATCATACCAATACCCCAAACCCAGTAAACTGATTAGTCAGACAACGAAATATTCGCTGTGCGCTAGACACCTTTGCAGTTCAGGAAGTATCTACCTACAGTTGTCAATAATATTGATAATGATCCAACCTCATGTTAAAATAAAGCAGGGAGTTGCCTTCTAAATCTTATTCAATTTGGCACACATAATTCACACTTAACCTGAGCTGAACCAACCTTTACGATTCTAGTTTGTACTGCCCTGCCAGGGGTCAATATAGTTTGTCTAGCTCAGTTGTATTTTCAGTGCTAGCTGGTGCAACAATCTTGACGCGGTCTGACTTTAGGCTACATCGGGTTAAAGGAATTAAGTCTATCACAAAATTAAATTTTTTAATCCCTATATCTTTGCAATGCAATGGTGTAAGCATTTGACATTTCAAACATTTCAATTATTTTGATCTCACTGAATTCATAGTTTTAAATATCACAGGGGTTACCACTTTGGCTTTCAAAGATATAAAGATTTGAAAATTAGAGTTTGTCAATAAAGCGGCAATTTAACGTTAATTAACTGTGAACTAAGACCCCCTAGGTTTGAATCAATCTTGAATAATCTCAAAAATGTATTTCAGGTTCTCTTGAATTACTGAAATATGAGTTGAAACTACCCACTTACAAGTTCGATACGAAGATAATAATGCACGGTGGAAGACTTAAAGAGGTGATATGATCAATCGTAAATATTATTTTACAATTTTCTAGGTTTTGAGTTTAACTTATTTTTAGGAGTATGATAATGTGGAATTTAAAGATATTTGGGCAGACAAGTTTTCTAGATGCAAACTTCTCATATTTGAGAAGATGATAATTGTTATGAAATATCACACACAAATTGACTATGTAAGTTCAAATATATTAAAGTTAGAAACATTTTTCCAGAATTTTTTTCTGATCAAAGGAATTGTAGGTCAAGAATGAATGATATACCCATTATTCTCTCGTTAAAAATTGATAATTTTTAATCGTGGCTTGCAGATTTCTGCTGTAGAAACAATGGAGTAAATTGCCAGAATAACGCTAGAAAAACTAAAAGATCTTCCACATTTTTTATAAAAGTTCAAAGGATACTGTTGTGAATCGTATATGCCCCTTCAACGGGGCGAAATGAGGTCTCGAGGGGGTTACCTTATATCTATTATTAATTATATTTCAAAACTTTGTAATTTTTAAATCTTATTAAATCTTCTATTTTTCTAGAAATCATTCTTCCCAGAAAGAACAATAGAAGTGCTAGAATTTGAGGTAAAGTTAAAAAATGATATTTTTAAATCTATATTATTTCCTAATAAAGACATATTAATAAAACCACAAATTCTAGAATGCTTATTACTTGGACAAGATTGTAACTAAATAAAAAAATATTTTTAAATCGATATTATTTCCTATAAAGATATTTTAATAAAATCACAAATTCTAGAATGCTTATTTCTTGGACAAGATTGAAAACTAAATAAAAAATAATATTTTAAAATCTATATTATTTCCTAATAAAGATATATTAATAAAACCACAAATTCTAGAATGCTTATTACTTGGACAAGATTGTAACTAAATAAAAAAAATATTTTAAATCTATATTATTTCCTAATAAAGATATTTTAATAAAACCACAAATTCTAGAATGCTTATTACTTGGACAAGATTGAAAAGCCAGGAAAAATCCAATCTAATACGAAAACCAGGAAAGTTCACCTTTTCAAAAAAATTTTATCTCACACAACCAAAGCTTTTTAAAATCAAATTAAGAAACATATTTGTTGCTAAACTTTAATGATTAGAAAATATAACTTCAAAATAGAGTTAAACTTGAAAGTTTTCAAAACGGACGCTTAGAAGAATGTTTAGGTAAAATTTTTAAAATTTAGGAATTGAGTCTTTTCCACAAACCCTGATTTTGCAATTCCTATATGTTTGCAACCCTGCAAAAGGGAATTAAGTCTGTGCGAAAACCTCTGATTTTCTAATCCCTATATCTTTACAACCCAATGTCGAAGTGCTTTGATATTTCAAACTTAGATTATTTATTCGAAACAGAATTCATATTCAGTTTAAAATATCAAAGGTCTACGACATTGGGTTGTAAATATATGGGGATTAGAAAATCAGAGGTTTTAGCACAGACTCAATTCCTTTTTTTATGGTAAGGTTCGTTCATAATTTTTAGATCTTAGGAATGATATAAATCATGTTACCTTGGATAAAAAGGAATAGAAATTTGAGCTTACAAAAAGTTGGCACCCTAAATGTGTGTGTTTATATTCTATCAACAAGCAACAAATCTCTAATAAATCATTTTTTAGAAATTAATTTCCCTGAAAAACCTGGAAGTGAGAAAAATGTGGAAAAGCTATTACAGTAAATATAAAACTACCATTGCTTTTGGTTTTATATCATCATTTCTTTTATTTCAGTTCTTTGGAAAAAATCTGGGAGGAAGTTAATCAGAAAAAAGAGAAAAACATCAAAGTATTCGGATTATTTTAATAAACTTTGAAAGATGGCTTAATTAGGACAATTTTTTGTTTAGAGTATAATTAAAATTGATCTCAACTGTGATAGATTGAAGTCAGCTGATCACTCAGCAGCCGCCTTTAACGTCTCTAAGCTATCACAGCTGAGATGTATTAACGTCTCTAAGCTATCACAGCTGAAATGTATCAACGTCTCTAAGCTATCACAGCTGAAATGTATCAACGCCTCTAAGCTATCACAGCTGGGATGTATTAACGTCTCTAAGCTATCACAGCTGAGATGTATCAACGTCTCTAAGCTATCACAGCTGAGATGTATCAACGTCTCTAAGCTATCACAGCTGAGTTGTATTACCGTCTCTAAGNGGTCATATTTATAGATCAAAATAAATATTAAATTTAAAGTATACAATTTCCAGGAAAAATCCAGTTTGGAATATTTTGTCGAGATCATCAAAAGATTTATCATTTAGAATGCTTCCAGAGGTGATATTTTGTATAATATTCAGATATTTCATCCAAAATTTAGATATTTTAGCCAATATTTAGATATTTCATCCAATATTTAGATATTTCATTCAACATTTAGATATTTCATTCAATATTTAGATATTTAATTCAATATTTAGATATTTCACTACAATGTTTAGATATTTCAGCTAATATTCAGATATTTCATCTAATATTTAGATATTTCATTCAATATTTAGATATTTCAGCCAATATTTAGATATTTGCAATCAATGTTTTGATATTTCATTCAATATTTAGATATTTCATTCAATATTTATATATTTCAGCCAATATTTAGATATTTGGAATCAATGTTTTGATATTGCATTCAATGTTTAGATATTTCATCCAATAATTAGATTTTTAATCCAAAAAAAATATATTTCTTCCAATTTAAAGATATTCATAAAATTTTTCATATTTTTTCAAATTTTATCCATTATGTAGATATGTAATTAAAATTCTAGTTAATTCATCCAATATTTAAGGAATGTTTAAGTGCTGCATCCGATATTTAGATATTTCATTCAAAGTTGAAAATGTCAATCCAATTTATTTAATATTTCCTCCAATATTCAATATTTCCTCCAATATTCAATATTTTTTCTAATATTTAATATTTCTTCCAATATTCAATATTTTTTTTATTTAGCACAGAACAGAAACCTGTTGCTCCACATGAGCCTCCTTTCTCCGTTCTTCCACCAATAGTAAGATATATTAGATAAATTAAAGCAATGTTGAAGTTTATAAAACTGTTGTGCACTTTATCATGCTTGTCCAGTTCATGTCCAATTTCCGTATAGCAGTGACATCATGAATTAATTTTGCTGTAATTTTCCAGTTGACAGTAAATAAAGCAATGTGCTAATACTCAGGCGCGCAACTAGGGGGGGGCCCAAGACTGATTGAGGGGAATATGCCCCCCCTGAAGAAGGCTTGCCAACCCCTTTAGGGGGGGGGAAGAAGTCCTTAACAAGGGTCTATATTGTTCCAAATAAACTAATTTTCTTGAAAATTTGAAGAAAAAAATAGGCCTCCACAGTAATTTTTCTTAACCTACACTCATTTATGCCCCAAACTCTTAAAGCAAACTCAAATTCCACTTTAACAATTTTCAATACAAGCTCAGATTCTTTTTATTTTTGTCCCTAAACTTAAAAAAAAATGCCAAATTGGATTTTTAAAATTATACTCACACATTCTTATTAAAATTGCCCCGCCAGGCTTAAATTTGCCCCCTTTTTTAGAATGTCACCGAATATTTATAATTTGCACCTAAGTTTAATTTATTTTTATTCCCAAATGTTTTATAAATACACCCAACTTTAAGGTAATTACTCCAAAATTAAGAAGTTTTGCGCCCAACAAAAAAAAGCCCGTTCATATACTTTGAAATGCCCTTAAAGAAAAAAAATTGCCCTCACAATAAATATTTAAGATTTCCCATACACAAATTTGCCCAAACTGAAAAAAGCCCCCTAAAACAAAAATTTAAGTTTTCCCCTAACTGAAAATTGCCCCCCAAAAAAATCAAATTTGCCCCTGAAATATAAATTTAAGATTTTTCCTACACAAACATGCCCCAAACTAAATAAAATATCCTGAATTGGTAAGGTAATTTTTTCATGGTTGAGTAAAATACACATTTTACCCAAGGTGGTAATGCAAGGAAAGTTAATTGCAGTTGCGTATACTCTGCGTACTTATTGAAACCAGTTCTCTCTGGGCGGAATTTGTAAACAATAGATGCAACAATGTTCGTTTAGTATCCGAGGAGGTTAAAAGCATTGAATTTTGATAATTTTGATAATTCACATAATAGTTTCCTATGACCAGAACATTTCATTGATTATTTATGTGAAAGATGGATCCCATGTCAGGCTTCGACATCCGTCTTGTGTTTACATTACCGCCCAGTGACAGTACAGTGCAGTACAAAAGGTGCGTACATCTCTGAAATAACTTTCCTTGCATTAAATCCTTTGGTATTGCCATCTTTGTATGAAAGGTCACTTGAAAATATTTTCCCTTAAAGAACTTTGAAATTATAATTTTCAGAAGGATATCAGTCAATTTGACTGTAGAGACTTAAACCTTACAAGACAAGGATTCGAGAAACTTCTAAAGGTTAGACAAATCAGAACTTGCCCTTCTCTTTCCAATATTTAGGTAAAAATATTTTAGAAAAAGAACTGATCACTCACCACAAATATTCTAACTTTCCTCTATATTTTTGCATCCTGACTGACCTTGGTTGGATTTAGTGGAAAATTAGTCATATTGTTGAGTCGATTCTTTTCAACTCCAGAACTCCAATTTCAACCATAAAAATCCATCAAATACAATCTTAAACAGTTTTAATAAACCCAACTCTCTGAAAAATTAGTCGCAACTTAAATCCCAGCTTAATCTCGAGCCTTCTTTTCCCGAATTTTTAAAATTGCGGGCTCTGATATGGTAGAACTTTGATTTCAAATAGTCAAAAAATTAAGTTTTATGTCATCAAGTTGCAAAGATACAGGAATTATAAGATTAGAGTTTGTGGCCAGTGTTCAGTTATTTAGCAACAATAATCTAGGAAAAGAAAACAAACACTTTTCTACTGCGGTTAAATAAAAACGGAAAATCAACTATTTCTGTCAAAACCAAAGAGGTAAGTTCTTCCATAAAAAAAATAGAAAATGAAATGTTTGAAAAAAATATTTAATGATTTTTTCAGAAATTTAACCATTATGTCATTGAAGAAGTTGAGGTTAGTTTTTATTCCAACTCAAGGATTTATTCTTAAACCAAAACAGATCACAATTAAAAATATTTTAACAAATTTTTGATTTTTTTTGTGACTCCCCTTGTCTTTTTAGTTAAAAGGGTCCACCTGGCTATACCTGGAGAAGGGAATAGCTAGTACTGATCTATTGGAAATGATTGAAAAAACTAGAGATATATATTCTCTCTATCATCCTTTCCATTCTCCAGGTCAGCTGATATATATTCTCTTTATCATCCTTTCCATTCTCCAGGTCAGCTGATATATATTCTCTTTATCATCTTTTCCATTCTCCATGTAAGCTGATATACATTCTCTTTATCATCCTTTCCATTCTCCAGGTCAGCTGATATATATTCTCTTTATCATCCTTTCCATTCTCCAGGTCAGCAGACATATATTCTCCAGATCAGCTGATATATATTCTCTTTATCATCCTTTCCATTCTCCAGGTCAGCTGATATACATTCTCTCTATATCATCCTATCCATTCTCCAGGTAAGCTGATATAAATTTTCTTTATCATCCTTTCCATTCTCCCGGTCAGCTGATATACATTCTCTCTATCATCCTTTCCATTCTCCAGGTCAGCTGATTCACATTCTCTTTATAATCCTTTCCATTCTCCAGGTCAGCTCATATATATTCTCTCTTTATCATCCTTTCCATTCTCCAGGTCAGCTGATATATATTCTCTTTATCATCCTTTCCATTCTCCAGGTCAGCTGATATATTTTCTTTATCATCCTTTCCATTCTCCCGGACAGCTGATATACATTCTCTCTATTATCCTTTCCGTTCAATTTAAGAACTTAACGTTAAGTTGCTACAATTGGATTTAAAAACGAATAATACATTTTTAGAACCAGCTGCAGCATAACATTGATCAAATATTTAATATTTCAATCATGAATTCTGCTGCAAACGATAGATCTTCTGTTCACTGTAAAAACTATTTTCAGAATCCGCACAGATTGCAGAATCCGAACCCCAGGTTAAAATTATCAAAGTTTTTCTTTCAAAATGGTCAAAAATAATTTCTGAATGTTTAGGACACAAATAATATAACTGGAATAGATCTGGGTATTTGGGAGGACTTCTGCCACCCACCGTTGACTAATGTTAGTTAAATTTGGATTTTTTTTGGAACTTGATGTTAGAAGGAAATATTCATTTCTAAGAAAGAAAATAATTATATTATTGAAATAATTTTGCATTTGATAATTATAATAAAGAACATTCAAATTGATTTCAATAATTATCTCTAATTTATTTAATATTGAGAAAACATTTTATAATTTAAAATAAAATAATTTGAATTCCCTATCCATATAAAATATAAAATTAATACATTATAATAAAATTATATATCTAATAAAAAATAAAAATATTTAAATTTTTTATTGAGAAATTAACCCGGCCATATTTCAGGATGAAAGAAGATTGCATCTTTCGGGGAAAGAAAATGGAACTTTTCTTTTGTGGTTTGTGTAACGAACTTTAAAGGAATTTTCAGATCTTTGGATCATTTATAAGATTGATAAATGTTTAAATTGATTTTTAGATCTTTAAAAGGATCGTTAAATCTTTACAGGGATTGTTAGATTGTTAAAAGGATCGTCTGAGATCTTAAAAACAATTGTTAGACCTTTAAACGGATTTTTTCCACTTGAAAGGTATTGTTAGGTCTTAAAAGGGATTTTTTTATTTTTAAATGGATTGTTTGGTCTTTAAAAGGGATTGTTTGGGCTTTAAAAGGGGTTGTTTGGTCTTTAAAAGAATCATTAGATCTTTAAAGGGATTGTGAAATCTTTACATAGATTGTTAGATCTTTAGAGGGATTGTTGGATCTTTAAATGTATTATTAAATCCTTAAAGAGATTTTTATTTCTTTTAGTGGATTATTTGATCCATAATTAGATTGTTAGAACTTTAAAGAGGATCTTTAGATATTGAAAGGGATTTTCAGATATTTAAAGGGATTAATATCTCTTTATATGGATCGTTAGATCTTTAATAGGATTGTTTGATATTTAAAGGGATTGTCTGTTCTTTAAACGGTTCGTTAAATCTTTAAAAAGTTCATTAGATTTTTAAATAGATTGTTAAATCTTTAAAGGTATTGTTAGTTCTTTAAACGGTTCGTTAAATCTTTAAAAAGTTCATTAGACTTTTAAATAGATTGTTAAATTTTTAAATAGATTGTTAAATCTTTAAAGGGATTGTTAGATATTTTAGAGGATTAATTTGTTTTAAGTTTTAGAAAAAGTAAGAACGTTTTATTATATCTCACCTTTTTCAAAATTGTAATAAATTTATGTTTACAAAATAAGAAACCCAGATTTTTAACTAAAATACAATTGCTAATATGACATAAATTGATTAATCTGTTTCCAGGAATTTTTTCGGACGGTAAGATTAGATAAACCTTAGAATATTTTATTTAGTGTGGAGAGAGATGATAAACTACATTTGTATAAGTGGAATGGAAGCAATATAGAAAAATATTCTATAGGTATCCATCTAGTTTGCTTCCAAACTAATATAGATTATACAATGTTCGCTTAGATTGTTTAAAACATGGTGGATCGATATTTTATATTTTTTGCCGGGATCAAGTGATCAATAACATTGTCGGGATCAAGTGATTTGAACATTGTCGGGATCAAGTGATCAAGAACATTGTCGGGATCAAGTGATCAAGCACATTGTCGGAATCAAGTGATCAAGAACATTGTCGGGATCAAGTGATCAAGAACATTGTCGGGATCAAGTGATTTGAACATTGTCGGGATCAAGTGATCAAGAACATTGTCGGGATCAAGGGATCAAGAACATTGTCGGGATCAATTGATTTGAACATTGTCGGGATCAAGGTATCAAGAACATTGTCGGGATCAAGTGATCAATAACATTGTCAGGATCAAGTGATCAAGAACATTGTCTGGATCAAGGGATCAATAACATTGTCGGGATCAAGTGATTTGAACATTGTCGGGATCAAGTGATCAATAACATTGTCGGGATCAAGTGATTTGAACATTGTCGGGATCAAGTGATCAAGAACATTGTCGGGATCAAGTGATTTGAACATTGTCGGGATCAAGTGATTTGAACATTGTCGGGATCAAGGGATCAAGAACATTGTCGGGATCAAGTGATTTGAACATTGTCGGGATCAAAGGATCAAGAACATTGTCGGGATCAAGTGATCAAGAAAATTGTCAGGATCAAGTGATCAAGAACATTGTCGGGATCAAGTGATCAAGAACATTGTCGGGATCAAGGGATCAAGAACATTATCGGGATCAAGTGATCAAGAACATTGTCGGGATCAAGTGATCAAGAACATTGTCGGGATCAAGGGATCAAGAACATTGTCGGGATCAAGTGATCAAGAACATATTGGGATCAAGTGATCAAGAACATTGTCGGGGTCAAGTGATCAAGAACATATTGGGATCAAGTGATCAAGAACATATCGGGAAGACAAACTCCGGAGAGAGAAGTTCCTAAGATAATGGAAATGTTTAAATGTCACTTTATATCTAGGTTTCAGCTAGGCCTAAAAGAGCAACGCTAGGCAGTAAAGCTGTTTTTAAAAGTAGAAAATTGTTCTTTCCAGAACTGTCTCTCAGAAATAAACTGAGTTTTCCCACAAAATCCAATTTTCTAATATCTTTGCAACCTGATGGTGTAAACCTTTGATATTTCAAATCTATGTTATCTGATCTAACAGAATTCATAGTTTGAAACATCTCAGGTCTACGACATTTGGCTCCAAAGATATAGAAAGTAGAAAATCAGAGCATGCAAGGCAAAGACTCAATTCCTTTGTCACATAGCATTTCAAATTTTTAAGTCTTTTTTTCTTTAACTTTGAAGTGACTTTAGACCTAGTGGTGTGTTCGATTCACAACGGTACCATATAGACCTTTGTCTGATAATTGACGACAGATATATTTGTGCGTACTTATCCGTACTGAAACTTCAGTTCCTTCAGTAATTTGCACGGATTGTACACTGTACTATGTACTATGTACACTGTATTGTACTGAGAACAGTGTACACGATCAAATTTTCCTGGATTCATTGTCGATGATGAGATAAAGGTTTAAAGGGTACCATTGTAAATCTGACACACATTCTAAACGGAGGCTCTCCTAAAATTATGTCTATAATTCCTTTAACCAAAAAATGTTTAGAAGAAGATGAGTTTAAGTGCATAGCATTGAAGAGAAATGGAATGATAAAAGCTGAGAAGAGCACATTAAGTAATCTAATCCAGGCTTGTCAGGTGAGATAAAAGGGCGGAACTTTTAGTGCTTTAATTCTAAGATTTTATGGCTTAGCTTGAACCCTTAGGCGCAGAATGGTCCTTTATTTATTTCAATTAGTTCGGATTCAATCGATAAGAGCTCTTTATGAAAATGGTCAACCAATTAGAAGCCAGACCTTTGGTCGGTTTTCAATTCAAAGGGCTCTTATTGGTTGTTACAATTCATCAAATGTTCCGCCTTTCTCATTGGTTGGACGTACCTTAATAATGGATTGACTTCCCAAATTTAAGATTTTATTAGCTCTAAAGCTTTTCCACTGGACAAGCTAGGCGAAAATTTCTCCCTCGGGTTTAACAGGTTTGAGAAAAAGATAAATTTGAATGGATGGATTATAGAATATAGATGAAGGTTGACTTAATAACTTCTTTACAACCTTGAAGATTTTAATATTTCTTAAATAAAAAATACATAATTAATCATATGGAAATTGTTTGGTTCTAGGCCAAAGATTCTCAGGAAGAGCTTTTTCTTGGTCGAGGAGTTTTATCTGCAGATGCACAAAGAAAAGTTAAAAATGAGAAAAGGTAGACAATTGAAACCTTTTTACTCTCATTTCACCAATATTTCTCCTCAAAAATACAGCAAGAAAGAGTTTAACTTAATCTTTTCATTTAAAAGTTCTCTGTTCTGTCTGGTTTTAAAATAAAATTTTTTAAAAATCTTCTTAAAAGTCCTTACAAAATATTTAAAATATCAAAATCAATACAACAACCATATAGAAGAGAAAAGGTACTTTTTTAAGAGTTAAAGAAATGGAAATGGAACCTTGGAACTTGACAGAGTTTGTAGGAGAAATGGATAAAAATGAAAGCAAACGGTAAGAATAGATGGGAGGAGAAGGTATAATGTATTAAAGATAAGAAGAGAAGGTAGGATGTATTAAAGTTAAGAGGAGAAGGTTGAATGTATTAAAGATAAGAAGAGAAGGTAGGATGTATTAAAGTTAAGAGGAGAAGGTAGGATGTATTAAAGTCAAAAGGAGAAGGTAGAATGTATTAAAGTTAAGAGGAGAAGGTAGAATGTATTAAAATTAAGAGGAGAAGTTAGAATGTATTAAAGTTAAGAGGAGAAGGTAGTTTATATAAAGAAATCTGTGTTTGAAGGTTGTTAAGCAATGAACCCCCCGGAACCTACCTAATCAGACTAAACCAAGACAAGGAATATAGATTGGCAGTCAAGGTTTTATTTTTTTACTTTTAATTTAAAATTAAATAATTTTTTAAAATTTATTTTACTTTAGACTGAGACAGGGACAATTAATAATTTTAAGGTAATGTGGTGACGATAAAATTATTTTAACACAATATCTAGATTATTTGTAAATGGCTTAAGTCTTTGCAACAAACTTTGATTTTTTTATCCCTTTATGCTTCAACCCAATGTTGTAAACCTTTGATATTTCAAACTGTTAAATCAAATACTCTAAGTTAAAAAATATTTATTTTTACAACATCAGGTTGCAAAGACGTAGGATATAGTAAATTTAAGTTTGTGGCAAAAACTCAATTTCTTTAAGATAAATTATGAAAATGGAAAGTATAATTTTCTCAATTGGGAGGAATCATCTCTGACTGATTTGATTACAAACATACAGGTTAGAATATTTATAATTAAAGGATTTTGAATTTTTTATTGTTATAATTTTATTTAGAGAAATCACATTCAATACATGACTCCCTTCGTGAGAAAAGGTAGATATTTAAAGAATAACTTGTAAAATATTTTCTTAATAATTTTTAATAATGTCTTATTTCGGATATTTAAAGAATAACTTGTAAAATATTTTCTTAATAATTTTTAATAATATTTCAGAATGCAACATTCCAATAATTTCAAAGGTAATACAAAAGATTGGATGGAAAGTTTTCCCATTTAAAAAAATAGTGACCGTACCCTTAACACCTTTGTCTGATTAGGTCTGAATAAAATATAAATGTTTATGATTTTTTAAATGATTATTTTCTGTGGTTTCTTCACAACAGTGACTTGAGTATTAGCTGGAGGAAAATGTAGTAATTATAAGAATTAAAACACTTTCAAGCCTAGAAAAACGAGAATTTCTTCCTCGTTATTGATTAATTCGAATCTTTTTTTTCTCTAGTCCAGGGCCTCCTACGTACTATCCTTCAATACACAAGGTTCATATCTTGTCAGGAATTTAACTCTACCCATTATTTAATTATTTAATAAATTATTATTTATAAATCTAAATTTTATAAAGCAAAAACATGCCAAAACTCAAATTAAATTGTGAATTGTGTCGCCGTGAACTTTTAGTCGCAACAGCCTTTTCATAGTTGTCAGTTGGCATTAATAGTTTAATGAAATATCAATAATTATCCAGTTAAAGCATTTCTTTATCGTTAAATGAAAATGAAAAAAATCACCTAGAAAAGAAACTGTGGTAAAATAAAAAAATTCCTACAATTTTTCAGCGTCAGGCATAAAATCGTTTAAAGTTTTTTTATTAATATTTATGAGTTAAACTATAGGAAAAATGAGGAAGGAAAAATAAGGATAAGCTATATGAAAAACGATCGCATGAAGTAAGTTTTATGATTATTTGCGCAGTCATAAAAATGTTCCCAACCAAAAAATGGAGAATTTTTCAAAATTCCAACTTTCATTTGTTTTGAATCTTCAGGGATAAGATTAATAAAAATACTCCATGTAATGTGTGTAAAACTTTTCAGTTCTAGAATTAAAATACCTTTTTAAAGAGAGATAAAAGTGAAAAAATCATTAATTATGGTATGACTATTTCTCTATGTTATGGTTAATGTACGGCCAATACAGAGGGTGAGATTTTTTCGCGAGATTAGGGAACGGAGTATTTGCAACAAGCTTTAAAACATATCTTGGTGTAAACCTTTGATATTTTAAATTTATAATTTGTTTGAAATATCAAAGGTTGCAAAAATATAGGGAATAAGAATGTAGAGTTAGTGGCAAAAACTCATTTCTTTTCTAATTTTCGAGGGAAATTTTACTTGGTCGAGGCCGATGACAATTTAGAGGTCAACAATGTTTTCTAACACTAAATATATTGTACTTAAACTTACTGTTTCAGGAACATGATTGTAGGGTAAGATATTCTTAAAGGATTTTCTAGCTAATAAATCTTTACGCAAAGCTGCAATCGGAAATATTAGTAGTAATTAAAGAAAACGGTATTATATACTTATTTTAAGCATACTTAAAAATCATATGGTTTGTGATTGTTTTATTATAAAAAATATGTGTTTAGGAATGAGCCTGAGAGTTTGCGTAGGGTTATCGAAGAATTAAAAAAAGATGGTTCTATTACGAATGAGATCTTTGATGATCTGCCCCCCAACTAGTTAAATGCGAAATATTTTAGTATTTTATTGGTTTTGAAATTTAGTGATTTTTAAAAAGACGGCTTTAATAAAGTATCAAAAGTATTGAAATAATTATGTGGAAACAGTGGAGGTATAAGGGAGCTAGGGGGGGACGATTCCCTAGACCTTGGAAAACTTTTGAGCGCAACTAGAGATCGTGGTGGATAACCAAAAGTATTTGAATCCCCGGTATGTAGTTCAGCGGTCCCTTGATGCATAATGTTTTGATGATTTGACGTTTTTAAATAATTTTACACGTCACAGATTAAACCTGGATTCAAATAATTTACTTACTGAGTAGGGCTGTTAAATGATCTTCTCCATGTTGACTGAGAACTGCTGTGTGTATTACAGCCTAATAATATCTAAATATTAGAATTTTCTTGGGGTGAAGGGACGCCTGATTCACAAGAGTACCATTAAAAGATTTGTCTGATCATGAATGAATTAGTTCTCTATTTTAACATTATTAAAAAAATTTCAGTTGAGGTTTCTCTATAAAAGTAACTGCCGCATTTCTACAGCATGAAAACATTTAGCAATTATCGTATTTAAGGCCTTAGAAAAACCCGACCATATCTTCCACATCATCGATCTGATAAAAGTTTCAAGGGTACCCTTGTAAATTGGGGATTTCTATCTTTGCATTAAGGGACACTGGAAATTACACTTTAAAACAAAAATTCTAAAATCCAATAGTGAAAGATATCTTTTTGAAATGGGAACTAAGTTTAGACAATCCTGGTTAGTTTCATCATTGTACATGTTTGCTCTAGCTCCTGCTCGGACCAGGAGCTGGGTGAACTCTACCGCTCCCTGCTGTACCGAGACCTGGAGAAGGAGCTGCTGCGCTAGGTTCGGATTATCGGAGATTAAAGGTTGATTTATCCAATGCTCTTCAGGGAGTGGATACACCTGTAAAAAATATTGAAAAATAATAGAAATAAAAATAAAGTTGAAATAAAAACAAAGATGTCTCCTGAAGGTTTAAAGGATAACATGGTAAATTCTTGATGAATGAAGTGAATAGTAACAATTCTGTAATCACCTTCTTCTCGTCATCTGATAGAGAGAGTTGGTGGTGATCGTCTAGTGGTGCAATATCAGCCAGGATACAGGAGAACGTCGTTAGATCTCCACTTAGGATACAGTTAGACAGATTCTCCTGAATACAGTTAAGATACAGTTAGACAGATTCTCCTGGATACAGCTAGAATACAGTTATCCTGGATACAGTTAGAATACAGTTAGGATACAGTAAGGATAAAGTTAGTCAGATTCTCCTGGATACAGTTAGAATACGGTTAGACAGATTCTTCTGGATACAGTTAGGATGCAGTTAGAATATAGTTAAAAATATTCTCCTGGATAAACTTAAAATACAATGAAGATTTAGTTAGTATGCAGTTAGGTTACAGATAGTATACAGTTAGACAGCTTCTCCTGGATACAGTAAAAATACAGCTAGGATACAGTTAGGATACAGTTAGGTTACAGCTAGGATACAGCTAGGATACAGTTAGGATACAGTTAGGATACAGCTAGAATACAGCTAGGATACAGTTAGGATACAGTTAGGATACAGTTAGGATACAGCTAGGATACAGTTAAGATACAGTTAGGTTACAGCTAGGATACAGTTAGGATACAGTTAGGATACAGCTAGGCTACAGCTAGGATACAGTTAGGATACAGTTAGAATACAGTTAGGATACAGCTAGGATACAGTTAGGATACAGCTAGGATACAGTTAGGATACAGTTAGGATATAGTTAGGTTACAGCTAGGATACAGTTAGGATACAGTTAGGATACAGCTAGGATACAGTTAGGATACAGTTAAGATACAGTTAGGATACAGTTAGGATACAAATAGGATTTAGTTAGGATACAGTTTGGATACAGTTAGAATACTCTTAGGATACAGCTTCAGGATACATTGATATACAGTTAATATACAGAAAGGATCATATTTAAAACAAAAAAAAATGTTAAAACTCCAACCTTTGATTTTGTTTAATAAAATTGAACGTTTGATCAAAATATAAATTATTAGGTTTCTGGTTTACTGGGATGGTCTATCTGCATCTGCAAGTATTTTGATTTTTTTTTAATAACAACTTAAAAATGTTCAGGCAACTTTTTTAAAATCTGACCGGCCATAAGTCTTTCATTGAGTTACTAACAAAAACTTGGGCCTAATATCGGATGAGTCGTGTTTACGTTTTTTGGACAAAACATAACAAACAAACCAAGAAACAGACGAGCCAAATATATATATAATGAGAACCAGATATCTCTGGAAATGGAAGACGACTTTTAGACTAATGTTATGACATTAAATAGTCCAATAAACCTGAGACACAGCAATTGTGCATTGTTAAGAAACTATAATTTGACTTAAAGGGGATTTAAGAAGTTTCTAGTTACTAATTATATTTGCTTTGTAACAACATCAATTATCTTCCTACTCCATAGTTTTCTGGTTCTCACTGTAGGAAACAAGTATTAAAACCTGAGGATCTCCGCAGCTGAGCTGTGCACAAACAACAGCAGCAGGTTCATCAACCTTCACAACCTTATTCATCCTGTAGTATTCAGTTCTCTTATGCATACTTTCTACAGAATATTAGTATTCAGTTCTCTTATTCATACTTTCTACAGAATATTAGTATTCAGTTCTCTTATGCATACATTCTACAGAATATCAGTATTCAGTTCTCTTAATATGCATACATTCTACAGAATATTACTATTCAGTTCTCTTATGCATTCTTTCTACAGAATATTAGTATTGAGTTCTCTTATGCATACTTTCTACAGAATATTAGTATTTTCTACAGAATATTAGTATTTAGTTCTCTTATGCATACTTTCTACAGAATATTAGTATTTAGTTCTCTTATGCATACTTTCTACAGAATATTAGTATTGAGTTCTCTTATGCATACTTTCTACAGAGAAAACTAATTGAATCATTTAATTTTTTTTTAATGAAAATCTGACATTTAAAAAAAAAAAGTCTATCGAAATATTAGACAAATCAAGCTTTAATTATTCTTTCCGTAAATAAAAAATTGCAATGTAGAAAATAAGAAGCAAATGAAAATTATGGTAATAAATGTATATTAAGACGTTTTGTAGGCTTTGTTGGTCCAAAAATTTCTTTTTCTATGTAAGAAAGCTGTAGAAGGCGAGGCCAATGTAATTGTTACATTGTAAGATCATTATTTTAAATGTCACCGCTTCTCTTCACTTGAATCAATACTATTTTTAACTTTTCGACGCAAACAGAAATATAATGTCTTCTATCCATGTTGATGTTCAAGTATCTGAGCACTGTGCAAACTATGTCAAAATGGGAATTTTTAGCCGCTCCTTTACCACGTAATTCGTTATTCACAAAACTGCATCGGATGCAACACTCATTAAATAACGTTGCAACTGCAGTTGATGAGTAGAACAAGCTAGAATAGGTGGGTTGAGATCTAGGGTGGGACTAGAGCTAGAGGAGGTATAGGAGCTGGAGCCCACTCCACTACTCTACTCACTACAGGACCTAAACTATACAATATAAACATGAGAAGGGAAAGTATGGATCAGCTGATATATTTTAACAACCACCGAGTATCAGATGGATTATTTATCCGGCTACCTCAATCATAATTATCAACCAGTTAATATATTCTAAAATTAAAAAGGAGAAAACATGCAGGATTTATTTATCAAAAATTGGAGAAAAAAAAGTTTATTTAAAATAGGAAAAAAATAAAGGGTTAGAATTAGGAAACAAGGACTGAAGATTGAAGGATAAGAAAGGAGAGGAGGAATATAGAATAATAAATTATAAAAGGAATTAAGAATAAGAAAGGAGAGGAGGAAAGAAGGATAAGAAAGGAGAGGAGGAAAGAAGGATAAGAAAGGAGAGGCGGAGTAAATGATAAGGGAGGAGAGGAGGAATGAAAGATAAGAAAGGAAGAGGTAATAGGAAAAGAAAGGAGAGAAGGAATGAAGGATAAGAAAGGAGAGGAGGAATGAAGGATAATAAAGGAGAAGAGGTATGAAAAATAAGAAAGGAGAGGAGGAAAGAAGGAGAAGAAAGCTGATAGGTGGAATGAAGGATAAGAAAGGAAAGGAGGAATGAAGGATATGAAAGGATAGGAGAAATGAAGGATAAGAAAGGAGAGGAGGAATGATGGATGAGAAAGGATAGGAGGAATGAAGGATAAGAAAGGAAAGGAGGAATGAAGGATAAGAAAGAAGAAGAGGAAAGAAGGATAAGAAAGGAGAGAAGAAATGAAGGATAAGAAAGGAGAGGAGGAATAAAGGATAAAAAAGGAGGGGAGGAATGAAGGATAAGAAAGGCAAGGTGGTATGAAGGAAATAGAGGAGATGAGGAAAGAAGGATAAGAAAGGAGAAGAGGAATGAAGGATATTAAAGGATAGGAGGAATAAAGGATAAGAAAGAAGTGAAGGAATGAAGGAGGATAAGAAAGGAGAGGAGGAATAAAGGATAGAAAGGAGAGGAGGAATAAAGGATAAGAAAGGAGAGGAGGAATGAAGGATAAGAGAGGAGAGGAGGAATAAAGAATAATAAAGAAGAGAAGGAATTATAGGATAAGAAAGGAGAGGAGGAATAACGGATATTCTTCCAAATTCTTCAAAAATAAAGAAGACGTATATTTGAATTATTTTATAATTTCGCAATAATAAAATCAGAACGTAGAAGACGACTTTTACTGGTTGCCAAACCCAACTAAACTTCAACAAATAATATTGATCAGCTGATTCTAATAACTAAATCTGAAACCTAAATAAACATTAATTAGGGATCAAATTTCACTGGATGATTCTTCAAAATGAAAACGATGGAACTGAAATACATTGAAATGAAAATGTCAGACTGAAATGTAAGAAATGAAAATGAGTAACGAAGTAAACTGTAGCCCTACCCCAAGTTTTGGGAAAAGAACCGAATCTCCAGGTTCAACTGGAAGATGTTGTGAGGTATGTTAAGTTGGGTCTGTCCTAGAGAACGATTTTTGGATCCTCCCCCCCCCCCGGGCCGCCCTTTTATCAATTTTGTACATGACAAAATTAGTATTTATTGAGTATTATTTTGGGTTAGGTTAGGTTAAGACACTTTCAGGGCCGAGCGATGTGGTTAAGACAGGCTATGGGGCCGAGCGCTGCGGCCACGGGTTAGGTTAAGTTAAGACACTTTCTGGGCCGAGCGCTGCGGCTAGGACAGGCTAGGGGGCTGAGCGCTGCGGCCTCATTTAGCTGATCCATGTACAAGGAGGGGGGGGGCGGGGGGGGGTCCAAAAATCGTTCTCTATGAAATTACCGTTAAATTCATGGTATTATTTTTATTATCCCCTTGAAATGATAAGGCATTTGAGCATAAGGTTTTGTATAAGATAATAACTGTTGTCGATTATCGCAAATAAGTTTGTAACTTGAGTTTGACGCCCCGTGGTTATAATAATTTCTACTGCAGGTTGAAGAGAGTTTAGTTGAATGCATGATGTGTGGTTGTACAACCACAGCTGGATATCTGAGAAATCATATTAGATTCAACCATCTGATCAACAAGGAGTTCCTAGTGGATAAAATGTACCAGCTGCACAAACCATCTCAAACCTCGGTATCATCTCAAACCTCGGTATCATCACAAACAAATATATCATGGGTTCACAGACAAACTGAGTACTTTACTGAGGAAGAAGGGAGAAATGATCCGGAGAAGGAAGAACATGATGATGTGGTAATAGTCGGAGCTCAAGAAGAGGAGGATGGTGAGGATGGTGTAGATGTTCTGGATGGTGAGGATGAGGTTACATGTCCTGGTTGTGGAGAGGTTGAGGATGGAGCAGCCATGATTGGATGCAAGAAATGTGATAGGTTAGGATTTTAATTATTTAAATATCATCCATGAATTCTTTATGCTGAGGGTTTTTTTTTCATTAAATTTGTTCTAACTGCCACCACCCCACGACCCCTTTCATTAAAAATCATTTTGACTTTACTGCTGCGGACTAGGTAATTCCTTAATATTTTGGAATGCAATTTGGATAATTTATTTTTAATATGTTCTTAATAAAAAGTGCACCAAACATAATACATTAAATGTTTGTCGCTACATGCTTATGCCAATTCTTTGTATTTTTTTTTGAACATTTTTAACTCTTCAATCAATCCATTCCAAATCTAAAAATTATTATAACCCTCTATAATCTTGTTTAGATGGTTTCATCGAAGTTGTCTGGGTGGAAAGTCTAGCACTAGTAAAGGAGAGGAGTTGGAGTGTAGAGATTGTAGAAACAAACCTAGAAGGAAGGTTCAGCACAAGAAGGTTGGGTTTGATGATCTCCGCCCCGACTCCAGGGTTGAGTGCAGCAGTTCATCTGTTGAGGAGGAGACGGAGATTAAGGTTACGGCAGTTGTAAAACCTAAACGAAGCCATATATTAGAGAAATTTTGTGACAGCGATACTTCCACAGATGTTCAGAATACTCCTAATAAACCTGGGAGAAGATCGTTTAAACGCAAACGGTCCAAAGAAGTGATGAGGGAGAAACAATCCAAATCATCAAGGAGAACTCCTTGTTCACCTATCCCACCATCTCCTAGTTCTCCTGTTCCTCCTACTCCCTCATATTCTTCGGACCATCCTGACATTGAGTCCGACTCCGTTCATGAAACCACATCTGTTGGAAAAAAGAAAGTGAAAACCAAGAAAACTCATAGAAAGGTTCGAGAAGACCGAGGGAAGGTCTCCAGCAAATCTAAAAAAAGTAAAGTTGGGACGGAGGAGAACTCACACCAGGATTCAGATGAGTGTTGGGATCAAGGGGGGGATATCTGCAAACTACAAGAGATTGATTCAGGCGATGAACTCTGTAAACTATGCGGTTATGGTTACGATCTTCCTAATGAGTTAGAACTTGGTCCACTCTTCAGGTTCGGAGTTTGTCAAGCTCATCTTCATTGTCTCATGTTCTCAAGTGGACTTATTCAGGTTAGTTTATCAGGATGGAACTTGAGAGAGATGTTTTAAAGCGAAATTGAAAACTAATTTATTGAAGATAAAAGAGGGATAATGAAAGGGTTAGAAAGTTTAGAATTCATCAAGTTGTTAGATCGTCAAATACATTTGTTGAGGAGAGTTTATATTTTAGGGTGGAGATGAAGAGGACGGAATAGTTGGGTTTCTCCCTGATGATATAATCAAGGAATGGCAGCGCGGATCCAAACTCAAATGTTACTTCTGTAAAGAGCTTTACGCTACTGTCGGCTGCTGTCAGAAACTGTGCATGAAAACCTATCATTTACCCTGTGGGATTAAGAACGGATCAGTGAACGAATATTATGGAAACTTTGACTCCTATTGCCCGAACCATACGGAGAGAAGGAAACACGGGAAGAATTATATTTTGACGGTTAAAGGATTGATACCGGAGAAAAGAATATCTCAGGATGAGAAGGAAAATCAAATTCGAAATAAAAAGTCTTCCAGGCCTGGATCTATGGTGGAGAATATACGACGAGAGGAGAAATCACAGTTAGAAAGAAAAAGAATGGAAGACCTAAATGGAAACGACAGAAGAAAAGATAAGAAAAAGAAGAAGCAGAACATAGAAAAACCTTACATGGAACCAGTTAGTTCTAAGAGGGCAATAATAAAACCTAAACTGTTTGATGATTATGATGTAGGTAGTTCAGATGACGCGAGTACAGCTAGAAGATCCAACCGCCCTAGGAGAAGAATTGAACCAACCTCAAATACAATTTATAAATCCGCCAAAGAAGAACTAGAGAAGATTTTAAAAAGTAAATATGTGAGTATAGAAGAATCTTTTGAAAATTTATCCGGGAGAAGAAGATTAAGAAAATCACGTGGTTCTTTAGATAGATTAGATTCAAGTGATGAGGAGAAAGAGGAGGAGTTACCAAAACGTTCTAGACCTACCAGGAGAAAATTAGAGTCAGTAAACAACAAGAATTTTATAGAAGTTGACTCCGGGATAAAGAATGAAGAGGATGAAGTGAAGGAGGAGAGGATCAATGAAGAGGAAACAATAGAAAACATTGAGGAGTTTCTGGGAGATAGAAGGAATACTAGATCCAACAATATCTCGGACGAGGTTGATCCTCTCCAGGTCTTTCCACCTACTCCGACTAAACATGTAGATCAAGATATTGTCAAGGTTGAGACCAAATCTCCGAGAGGAGGAGGAGACTTTACAAGTTTTATTCAACAAGATGGGTCATGTGATCACATCGATTTCTCTCGGCTAGGTATAGATGAAAATCTGGTGGAAGAAGTTTTTCCAGACCGAGATTTCTCTGATATATCTGGGTCCGAGAACCATGATATAGGTATAGAGGAGATAATTGAAACCCTGACCGAAAATAAATATCCAGATCCTCGGGTTGTAAAGTATAAATGTTCTCATTGTATATTCTCCACGAATAGCAAACCAACCATGAAAACCCATTTGCTTAATATTCATCAGTCTTCCAACCCAACTCGTCAGGTTCAAGAAATGAAAATATTTACCAAGAATATCAGGCTGAAGGAAGAACAGTTGAGGTCAGCTCAGAGTACAAACTTTGATGAGATCTACGAAAAGCTGTGCTATATTAAGAACCTGGAGCGGTTTAGTTTTGTTCACTATGTTAGTGACGATATGTCTGATCCTATCTCTGATATAGATTCCAATCCTATGAACAGTGCAGATGTAGACAGAGATATGCAGGAGTTAATCCCCTCTCCGAACCAAACCGGGACCAGGATTAGGACCAAGAAAAAAGAAATAGAAGGATTTCTCGGCTGGGACCAGGTTGGAAAGAAATCGAGCAGTAAAATGCCAATACAGCTTGAATCTGAACCAGTATCCGCTCCTGAAGGTTCTCGAACCTCTTCCCGAAACTCGTCTCCAAGAGCCAACGGAATCCGTTCCTCTAACTCTCCTTTTAACCCTGAGAACCATTCTCCCATCTCAATCATACCTTTTCACCCTGAGTCTAGGGAATCTACATCTCTGAGATCTGGATCAAGAGACAAATCTACAGAGAAACTTCTACCGAGAAATAATAATCCCTCATGTTTTACAAGATCAGAAAGGCGGTCTGGTACTCCCGCTTCAAAAACCGAGTCTCCAGCGCCTAAATCTGATTGTCAGGCCTTGAAATCTGGTCCTCCAGTTTCTAAATCTGGTTCTCCAGTATCGAAATCAGGTTCTCCAGTCTCTAAATTTGGTTCTCCAGCTTCTAAATCAGGTTCTCCAGTCTCTAAATTTGGTTCTCCAGCTTCTAAATCTTGTTCTCCAGCCTCTAAATGTGGTTCTCCAGCTTCTAAATCTTGTTCTCTAGCTTCGAAATCTGGTTCTCATACTTCTAAATCGGGATCTCCGAAAGATAAATATCCCGAAAGTTATAAATGCAACAAATGTACAAAAGTGTTCACGGCAAAAGAACTTCTTATTTCTCATTCTTCACTCTGCCCCTGGCGCACAGAGGACGAATCAAAACCCATCTCTGGTTCTAGAAGCTTTAAACTACTCTACTCAACAGTTGGAGATTATTTAGATAGTTCCAGGGAACAAGAATCTTTAGAGGGTAAGCATAAAATATTTTAGACATGATCTAATTCATTCCTTTCTTAAAGCTCCCCCTTAAATGGTACTTACTGGTTTAAAGTTGAATGTCAGATCTCATGATAAACACATTTTCTCTAGTCCAAAATTAAATTAAATAAGACTCACAGGGACGTCCTACATCCATATTGAAAAGATTAATTCAATCATTGATATTATCCGTGTACTAATATATGCCTGTATAGATGTGAAGGATGAGAGACCCTACCTGGTTAAGTTTGAAGATGCTCAGGGTAGAGAGCACACCTGGGTTGATGAGTACGAGGAGAACGGATTACCAGCTCTATATGTAGATGGGAAAGGAGAAGGACAGGTATTTTCTAAGAAAGGTTTCCTTTATTTATGTATAAAAAGTATTAATCTGTGTTTTTGATGTCTGTTTGGATGTCCGAATATAACTCAGGAACCCCTTGACCGATTGACCTCAAATTTTGGTTGTGGAACTCTGGAGAACTTGAGATTCTAAGTTGAGTGGGTCGACTTTTATAGGGAAAAATAGCTAAAACCATAATTTACGACTAAGCGCGGGTAAACAGGTTTAGTAACTATGAGTACCCTAGGCTGGGTTCCCAAGCTAGTAAAATATAAATGTTTAGGTTTGTGCATTTGAGCTAAAACAAGCCTTAGCTCATGAAGAAAAGATTCCCCAGAACCTGCAAGATCTTATTCTCAAATCAGGAAACTGAAAGATATTTGGGATTCCGAAAATTTGTTATTTCCAATAAAATTTACATTTCAACGTGTCTACAGTACTTAAATAATTTATAAGAAGGTGTTAATGTTGTAAAATTATGTTAACAATATGTAAAGGAACTGAGTTCTTATCACAACCTCAAATTGTCAAATCCATATATGTTTTCAATTCAATATGCCAGACCTTGAATTGTTTTTTGATCAAATAGTCTAATTTTAAATATCAAAAGGTTAAACCATCATGTTTCAAAGATAAAGGGATTAGATGAGTTTGTGGTGAGAATTCAGTTTCTTTGGTGGTGATCTTATTATCATGTGGTGTGCAAATATCATCAATTGTAAAAATATTTTATTACATTTATATAAAAAACCTTTAAAATTGAGCAGTGGACATTTGCTGTGATATACAGGGTGTCCCAAGAAACATGACAGTTGGTGAATAGTTTTAAATGTCTTCTTCCATATACTTTATCAGATATTAAATACTTTTTGAGTTTATTTCGTTAAGAAAATATTGAACTTAAATATATTTTACTATAATATTACTCAGGACTGGCATATAATTTATCTTTTTTATTATTCTCTTTGGTATCAAACAACTGAACAAATTAATGAAGAAGATATTTTAAACTATTCATCAACTGTCATGTTTCGTGGGACACCCTGTAGTTAAATGAAGGTGGGAGAAGGTTTGTCATTAAATTTAAGAACGTTAAAAAATTCTTCAGTTGCATCACCCCCTTCCCCTCCCCCCCATTAGAAAACGGTTTTACATCCAAAGAACAACTGATAAAAGTTGTGAAAAATGTCAATTAAAAATTAGTCGTGTTAGTATCAATATTTAAATATGAACAAGAAAGTTAATTTTTGAATTAAGCCACGTGAAATTCGATCCTTATTCCTTATGCTATTGTTGGAAAAAAATGACCTAAATCTCTAGATTCGCTTAATTTGATCTTAGTTTTTGGCACTCCAGCACTCCAGTCTTTATTTTGATAATGTTCATACTCATGAACCAACCAATCCCTTCCTGTCCTTCGAGTCTTCTTTAATTTGATAATGTTCATACTCATAAACCACCTAATCCCTTCCTGTCCCTCAAGTCTTCTTTGTTTTTATAATGTTCATACTCATGAACCAACCAATCCCTTCCTGTCCCTCAAGTCTTCTTTATTTTGATAATGCTCATACTCATGAACCATCCAATCCCTTCCTGTCCCTCAAGTCTTCCTTGTTTTGATAATGTTCATATTCATGAAATAACCCGAAACCCCCCAGCACTTCATTCTTCCTTGTTTTGATAATGTTCATACTCATGAACTAACCCCCCCCCCCCTGCACTTCAGCCTTTTTTGTTTTGATAATGTTCATATTCATGAATTATGCCCCGCGGATTTCAGTCTTCCTTGTTTTGATAATGTTCATACTCATGAACTATCCCCCCCTGGCCCCCCTGGCAATCCTATACAATGAGTTTGGAAAGAAGGAAAGACCGAAACCCCTGCCAAAAGATAGACCCCCCTCCTCCCTCACAGTCAATAATTTTGGCAGACTTTCAAACTTTTACAATCAATTCTGGCATAGACTTGGAATACCATTCCAAATATACCAGATATATGTACACATTATGCATAGTAAAGATTTTATCCACATGTACTGAAATTATACTTACTTTTTCTACCAAAACAAAAGTAAAATTTCAACTCTTGACAAAATCCAAAGCTCTGAACGGATTAAAATATATTTGGTATATGCAAACTTCTTTACGTATAAAAAACGTTCTAACATATAACATAATATCTCCCATGGTTATTAATATGATAGGATTTATTTTGAACCCAATTAAAACACATAGATATGATATAAAAGAAAATGTGAATGAAAATATAGGACTATGTATACGTAGACAAGAATAAAGCTTATATAAAGGAAGCATAGAAGTATTAAGAACATTATATTCAGTGGACTCAGGAGTAAAGGGTTTATAACGGGAGGATCTAGGTTTAGGAGAAGAGGATCTAGGTTTTGGAGTAGAGAATATAGGTTTAGGAAGAAAGGATCTAGGTTTAGGAGTAGAGAATCTGGGTTTAGAAGTAGAGGATCTAGGTTTTGGAGTAGAGGATCTAGGTTTAGGAGCTGAGGATCAAGATTTAGAAGTATAGAATACAGATTTAGGAGTAGAGGATCTAGGTTTAAAAGTAGAGGATCTAGATTTAGGAGTAGAGGATCTAGGTTTTGTAGTAGAGGATCAAGGTTTAGGAGTAGAGGATCTAGGATTAGGAGTAGAGGATCTAGATTAAGAAGTAGAGAATGCAGGTTTAGGAGTAGAGGATCCAGGTTTAGGATTAGAGGATCTAGGTTTAGAAGTCAAGGGTCTTGGTTTAAAAGTAGAGGATCTAGGTTTAGAAGTAGAGGATCTAGGTTTAAGAATAAAGGATCTAGTTTTGGGAGTAGAAAATCTAGGTTTAAGAATAGAGAAATCTTGGTTTAGAAGTAGAGGATCTAGGTAAAGTCTAGGATTAGGAATAAGGAGTTCTAGTGGAGCATGAATGTCTAGCTGAGGAAGAAGGGGAGCGAGCTCTTTTTGAGGATGAAGGTGGGGGAGGGGTGTAAAGAATTCTGGGTTTTCTTTAATTCTTCGCAGGTGGACGCATTGGACAGACGTGATTCATCAGCTGTTTGTTCTTCATAAAACTTCTTCCACAGAAATGACAGGTTCCCGTATTCCTCTGAAATGTATTATAGAGGAATTCAGTTTAGAAGAAAGAAATGATGTTAGTTATATCTCTTTCCGCATTATGGAACTGAGTACTTTCCACAAAATCTAATTTTCTAATCCTTTTCTCTTTTTGCAACCCTTTGTCGTACACCTTTGACATTTTAAACTATGAATTTGTTAAATGAAAAAGTTTGAAATACCAAAAGTTTACACCATCAGAATGCCAAGATATAATAATTAGAAATTTGGGTTAGTAGCAAGAACATAGTTCCTTTAAAGGGAGTGACCGGCAACGTATGGTAGTTGAACTGATAATTCAGTTTTGTAAAGATTTTTTTTAGGATTCATTGGGATCTATCAGACGTTTTTACGGTGCATATTTGTTAAGCAAGCGTGCAAATTCAATTTTTAAAATTCTCCTTCATTTTCCATTCTGGAGAGATGCTTTTGAGAATCATTTTTTTAAATAACAACGACGGAAAATGTAACAAAAATTCTAAATATTTCTTCAAATTCTTCAAATTTCATCGTTTAGTTAGTTTACTGTCGATATTTTGTTACATTTCTCGTGGTCGTCATTGAATAATTTAAAAAAAACTTATTCTCAAAACCATCCCTCCAAAATGGACAATCTATTAGGATTTTAAAGATTGAATTCGCACTCTTGCTAAACAAATATGCACCATAAAAACGTCTGATCGATAGTTCTCAAATGATTCCTAAACAATTACTCTATAATACTACATTCACAGTTCAACTACCATACATTGCCTGTCACTCCCTTTAAAGGAACCAGTCCCCTCCTAGCAACGAAAACTAAGAACCCCCCCCCCCATATACTAAATATATCCGGTGAGAAACCCGGAACTAGAATCTGTTGATACCTGAACTGAAACTGAAGCTGGAGAGATCAATGTTGAATCCTTGAGTTTAACACTGGAGAGAGAAAGCGGAGAGTGTAATGCCGGAGGGAGGATGGATAGATGTGAGGTTGGAGATGGTTGGCTCTGAGAGGTTAAATGTAGAGGGGAGGGGAGGGATGTATGTCCTGCAGAAGGATGAGAGAAGAGAAGAGGTCTTCGAACCATTCTTATTGGAGAAGACTGGTTACTCCGTTCCTCTAAACAAAAGTCATGTTATAAAATATTCGTTTTTGGTCTCTGATCATACGAAATATTCCTTGATCATTTAATTGATCATTCACATGGACTTTTTATTTTGTCTATGTCTAGACTACTCCCGTAGTATACTCTAGGATACTCCCCTGGTATACTCTAGACTACTCCCCTGATATACACTAGACTACTCCCCTGGTATACTCTAGACTACTCCCCTGGTATACTCTAGACTTCTCCCCAGGTATACTCTAAACTACTCACCTGGTATACTCTAGACTACTCACATGGTTTACTCTAGACTACTCCCCTGTTATAATCTAGACTACTCCTCTAGTATACTCTGAACTACACCCCTGGTATACTCTAGACTACTCCACTGGTATACTCTAGACTACTCCCCTGGTATACTCTAGACTACTCCCCTGGTATACTCTAGACTACTCCCCTGGTATACTCTAGGCTACTCCCCTGGTATACTCTAGACTACTCCCCTGGTATACTCTAGACTACTGAATAGTCTATATATTTATATATATATGACTATGTATGGTGTAGAGGAGGTGGAGTAAGGTTGGGTGTATATGTTGGTTGAGTTGGCAGAGTAAAGGTCTAGAATCTGCCAAGGAATAATATCGCTATACCTCGTCCTGCCAACTAGTATTCAATCTACGACATGCCAACGGTTTACGAACCCTCCGCCAAGAAATTCTGAAACTCGTGGTTTTTCTGTCATAGACAATATTTCTAGATCTTTCTTCTACACTCCTTAAATATTTGTCAGATTTCATTTTCTCATCAATCCATCAATCTAATTATTAATTCATTGTTGATTTTCTATTTTCTGTTTACAGATTTCTCATTATGCCTTTCAACAATGAAAGATTGATTTCAACAAGTATATTTCGTAGTATTTTGGTGTATTCTATGTGTTTCTCGCTGTATTGTTTTGATTGTTTTCTGTATTCCTGAGTATAAACACGTATGTGCGAACATATATTTCTTTGTTTCTCTTTTTTTCTTAGTATTTCTCTCAGTTATCAACTACTTTTCATTTATCTGTTTATTTATACTGTAGTTTTCTTGTTTGTTTATATATCTGCATATCTGTGTGATTTTCTCTATTTAACTAATTGCTCTAATTATCCCTGTATTTCTCTATATTCAACTAATTATCCCTTTTCTCTATATTCAACTAATTATCCCTGTATTTCTCTATATTCAACTAATTATTTCTCTATATTCAACTAATTATCCCTGTATTTCTCTATATTCAACTAATTATCCCTGAAAATCTCTATATTCAACTAATTATCCCTGTATTTCTCTATAATAAACTATAATTATCCCTATATTTGTCTATTCTAAACTAATTATTTCTATATTTATCTATTCTAAATTAATTATCCCTGCATTTCTCTATTCTAAACTAATTATCCCTGTATTTCTCTATAATAACAAACTTATCCCTATGTTTCTCGAAAGAAAATTAATTATTCCCGTATTTCTTTGTATTATCTGGGTTTGATCCAACCTTCTGATGAACATATTGTTTTATTTCATACTTGGATCAAAATTCATCTTTCTTGCCAAACTGTTGTATAGAGTGTATGAAACCTGGTGGGATGAGTAAACTATTTAAATAACTGAAGTTACTGTTTAGATTTAAGTACAGGGTTACCCACAAAGGATGAGACTTCAGAGACGACTGTACGGAATTTATCCAGTCTTTTTTCTTACAATTGTGGTATCCTACAGCTGTAACGGAATTGATTCTTTGCCCAAATTGAGTTTGTTGGATAAAATAATTTAAGTTTGAAATATCAAAGGTTTACACCATAAAGGGATCAAAAAGATTTAAGATCGGTGTCGCATTAAAAAACGCCTGGGCGTGAGATTATGTCTGGGGTACTGTGATTAGGTAAACTACCCGGCCGTAATATTTCCCTGGGGCTCATTTTAACGTATTATAGTTTTGTTTTAAATCTCTAGCTTACTTATTTCTGCTTTCTAACTCGTAATCAAGGTAATATACTAAAGGTAGGGTTAGTAGGGTTTCTGAACACTTTGACTAATTTAAACTGCTAGCAATTAGTTTTTATAAAAATATCATTAATAAAGATCGTAAACAGATATCGGAACTTTCCTGCTGTTTCTTTGCCTTAAACCAGTTTTTGTACAGTAAGATGTAAGCTAACCCTACCCCCCCCCCCCCTCCTACCTTTAGTATAGATACTTTGCTCGGCGGAGTATGTGAACAAAACCTACCGACCCAAAAAATGTTTATCTCCTAAATTCTATCTGTGTAATCTTTGTTTTACCTCTTTTATACTCATCAAATCTTTCTCCGTTCTCCTCCTCATCCTTCTCCTGCTTTACATAAACCTGAATATTTCATAGTTTCAAAATCCTAGTCAAATAATGTATAGCGGACAGTTTATAGGATTAGTTTTTTCTGTGATTTTCTTTTCTGGGTATTGTGATAAAAACGTTTTGAGATGACAGAAACGCAAACTGATTTACTTTTTGGTGAAAACATCCTTTTATTTGGAAATAATTACATCTTTAAAACCCCCTGTGCTAGTTAATAGAAAGTAAATGTTAAAAAACGTGGAAAAACGGATTTCCGAGAATAAGGACGAGACGGGGTAAGATTAGGAACAAGAATTTTCACCTCACTAACTTTGATAATTTGCTTCTTCTGAGAACTCTGTTCCTCTGCTCCAAGTTCATTCTCAATATTTTCCTTCATACTAATCCCAATATTCCTGGACGCATCAGTAAACTTTCGCTTTCTCTCCGACCCTCTCTCTTCATTCCCATCCTTGGTTCCTGCTCTTCGTCCTGGTTCAGGTGGACTCCCATCCGAACCTGACTCATATCTAGGCCGTTTTGACAGGTTTAAAGTATCCGTGTCTGTTGATTCTCTCTTATCCTTGTTATCAGGTTTAGGGGAGACGGATGGACCAGAAGATTTTTCAAGATCAGCAAAGGAAGGATCTCCCTCGGCCAGTCCTCTGGAAATATTCATTATTAATACATTATATTATATTATCAGCTCTTACATTACATTTTCAGCTCCTACATAATATTATCCGCTCCTACATTATATTATCAGCTCCTACATTATATTATCAGCTCCTATATTATATTATCAGTTCCTACATTATAATATCAGCTCCTACATTATATTATCAGCTCCTAAATTACATTATCAGTTCCTACATTATCTTTTTAGCTCCTATATTATATTATCAGCTCCTACATTATAATATCAGCTCCTACATTATAATATCAGCTCCTACATTATATTATCAGCTCCTACATAATATTATTAGCTCCTATTATATATGATCAGTTTCTACATTATATCATCAGCTCCTACATTATGTTATTAGCTCCTTTATTATATCATCAATTCCTACATTATATTATCAGTTCCTACATTATATTATCAGCTCCTACATTATATTATCAGCTCCTACATTATCTTATTAGCTCCTATATTATATTACCAGTTCCTACATTATATTATCAGCTCCTATATTATCTTATTAGCTCCTACATTATATTATCAGTTCCTACATTATATTATCAGTTCCTACATTGTATTAACAGCTCCTACATCAGTTCTACATAATATTATCAGCTCCTACATTATATTATCAGCTGTTACATTATATTATCAGCTCCTACACTAAATAATCAGCTCCTACATTATATTATCAGCTCCTACATTATATTACCAGCTCCTACATTATATTATCAGCTCCTACACTAAATAATAAACTTTTACCTGATTCCTAAAGATTTTGCAGCTGAAATAAGACTGAAGAGTTCTGTTTGAGGAACACTAACTTCTCCTCTATACATATACTGGAGTAATCTCTCGAAATCTCTGCTGCTAACATCCTAAACCAAGATACATTCAATTCTTCACCATTTCATTAACAGGAATTTATTTACTTTTTGATACAAGAAATCAATGTAAATGAGATGGACATCATTCAAACTTTTGAGTTTACAGTTGGTTTTACTTTTCCTTCTGTGAACACTTTATCAAACTGTTAAAACGCAATATGAAAATACTTTCCCTTCTGTGAACACTTTATCAAACGGTAAAAACGCAATATGAAATACTTTCCCTTCTGTGAACACTTTATCAAACGGTTAAAACGTAATATGAAAATACTTTCCCTTCCGTAAACACTTTATCAAACGGTAAAAACGCAATATGAAAGTACTTTCCCTTCTGTGAACACTTTAGCAAACGGTTAAAACGTAATATGAATATACTTTCCCTTCCGTGAACACTTTATCAAACGGTAAAAACGCAATATGAAAGTAATTTCCCTTCCGTGAACACTTTATCAAACGGTAAAAACGCAATAAGAAAATACTTTCCTCGCAGAGAGTGCAGGTTGGATATTACGATATCTTCAGTTCCTCGCAGAGGGTTCAGGTTGGATATTACGATATCTTCAGTTCCTCGCAGAGGGTGCTTGGATATTACGATATCTTCAGTTGCGTTTTTTTCCCCGATTTAAGAAGAACATCAGTTTTTCAAAAAGATTGAATTACTTCAATTTTAATATTTATATAACAATACCTTGTAAACTATTCTGTTTATCTAACTCCATACCTGGAGAAGTATTTTTATATTTGACCCTATCTTTAGGAATATTCTCTATATCTTACCCTACCTGGAGAAGTATTCTGTATTTCTAACCCAACCTGGAGAAATATTTGATAACTAAACCTACCTTGAGAAGTTTCCTGTATATATAACCCTACCTTGAGAAAGATGACGGGATGCTTCCCCTCCCCATTGTGTCCTGTAACGACCAGCCTGAAGTAGTGTGAGGAGAGTGCCAGTACTAGACGATGGGCGGAGTACATGGTTTCTCCCGCCCACACGCTTACATCAGTCAGTACATCCCCTGGGGTAGTATAATTTTTAACATAGTTCAAGGCATAATAATCATTAAAAGTGGGTCATTATAATAATCATTATTTTTTTCAGGATGATACTAATAAAAACAATTGCGATAGTAATACTAATTATTTTTATGACAGTAATGATGATAGTAAAGAGTGATTGTAATAATGATAATTATTATTAAATGATCAGGAAACAATATGTGGTATTCAAGATAAATAATAATAATTATATAGAGGAATAAAAATCGTTCATGTTAATAATTTTTATAAATATTATTGTTATCATAATCTTTAATGTTATTTTCATCATCATCATCATAATTCTATTTTTAAGAACCAGAACACAACGTACATCAATCATAAGAAGAAGGTAATCAAGATAAATGGTTATAACACTAATAATAATAATACCTGATGCCAGCTCCGACATTGCGGTAATAATCGAGGCATGATGATCGTTCCAAGCAAGAAGATATTCCTCACACATCCTTCCTACTCCGTGGTTCCTCGGTAAATGTTGTATATCTAGGATCTGCGTAAACATTTGGCTCAGCTCCAACTCTGCTCACCATGCTTGCCAAATCAATATAAACATATATATATATATATGTATATATATATATATATATATATAGATATATATATATCACATAACATCTCCTCCAACAATAACCTACCTTTATTTATAAAACCAAGAAAAAGGGTCTGTTAACGTGATTCAGGTTAAATCCTGGTACTCAAATCAATCGTTGAAAGGAATTGAGTCCTTACCACAAACCCTGATTTTATATCCCCATATCTTTGCAACCCAATGTCGCGGACCTTAGATATTTTAAACTATGAATTATGTTAGATCGAATAGTTTAAGTTTGAAATATCAAAGGTTAAAACCATCAAGTGGCAAAGATACAGGGATAAGAAAATTTGAATTTTTGGCAAAGACTCATTCCTTGGTATGTAAATAAGGAATCAAACTCACTGTCTTTAAAACATATATAGATACTTTTAATTCATTTTCCATAATAACCAAAATTGTTTAGATTTAATTTGAAAAACTTAAAGCACTTTAAAGGGTGTATCCAAAAAAACAGTAGTTAATTTGACATTAAAAATATTTACAAAAAATGTCCGATCTAAGGGTGCAAACACATTGGATCAGGATCGGTGTTGCGTACTTTTCCAAGTGCGACTTCCCAAATGATAATTTCCGAAGTGACAACTTCTTAAATAATAAGATAAGGATAAACGGCATTTTCCCATGGATGAGGGCATTATTAAATGAATAAAGTTTGTTACTTCATTTTTAACATTTTGGCTGCATACACCGGACACTCCTTTTTTTTAAAAAATCTTGATATATAACTAGAACTTTCAAAGCAAGACAATTCATAAAGTCTTTCTTGCTTGTATGGAAATCTGCTAAATGCCTTGCCGGGGCTAGAGTAAACACTGCTGAAAACATTTCTAATTTAACCATCAATTATATTTATAATTTATTTGTGTAAATTCTAAACTTTATCCTATGTAATATAGCCTTGTTAAAAAGTATTTCTCTAAGGTTAACAACATAGAATACGGAAATTGGAAAACAAAACTCTTACAATTTGTTTTGGCTGTGGTTAGGTTAGGTTAGTGGGCCGAGCGCTGAAGCTATAATTTGATTTTAGGAAAATAAAGCACATTATCTAAAGTTAGGTTAGGCCCTCTGAGGCTCCGAAGGTTACAATGGGGGGGGGGGAGGCTGAACTCTGCGACTGGGATGGGTTAGGGGGCCGTGCACAACAGATGTAATTTGATTTCAAGAAAATGTAGTACATCAAATAGATTGTCGAGTACAAGTATTGACAACCTATTTGTAGTCTATTATAAAAGGTTAGGTTAGACCCTCTGAGGCGCCGCCGCAGACTACAATGGGGACCGAGCGTTGCGGCTAGGACGGGCTAGGGGGCCGGGGCTGCAGCTATAATTCAATTTTAAAAAATATAGTACATTATCTAAGGTTAGGTTACAAAGGGGGGGGGGCAATTACTGCGGCTAGGACAGGCTGTTCACTTGGGAAATTGTCATTTCGAAAAATTTAAATTTGGGAAGGTGCCTTATTTCCTTCATGGGGAAGTTGTCACTTGGGAAATTTTCATTTGGGAAAACATACATTTGGGAAGTTCCCACTTGGGAAATTACCTATCATCATGCAGATCATCTAAACTAGACAGAAGGAAAACCACTTTGTGACGTCACGTGACTATAGTTTTTAGTAGAAGTAAATATTTCCATTAACTCATAGCGCCGATTGAAAAATTCAAAACTCTGATGGTGTATTTCTGGACCTACGCCCATCCGTCCTACTGCCAATCCGACCTACTAGCACGTGGTTTTACAGCTGCTAGATGGACTTCGGACCGAAGCGCCCGGCCTCCTAGCCTGTCCTAGCCGTGGCGCTCGGCCCCCTAGCCGCAGTGCTCGGCCCAGAAATTCTCTTAACCTAACCTAACCCTCAAATAATACAAAAATAAACAGCTGTCGTATGTCGGATGTCGGACTCGGACTCGGTAGAAGAGCGGATCAACATTACCAATTTGAGATAGATAGAAAGATAGATGTTACTGCCAAACTTTTTCTATTGGTTCAGAATAGACCACAAACACATGACTGAACCGTGATTAGATCAGGCGCTAATGGACTCGGCATACAGGAGTGCATGACATCGTAGCTCCACTAGCTTGGATTGCACAAGCATGAGAAAAGAAAATTAATTTGGTTACATACAGGGTGTCCCAAAAAACATGGGAATTCAGTGACGAATTCGATATCGTCTTTGTTATGAATTAGCATTGTAATACCTAATTTCAAAAGCCATAATATTATTATGTCTGATAGAGTTTATTTTATGAAAAGGGTAAAAGACTGTAAAGATGTGTCTATAATGTCTCCGCAAGATGAACAGTGAATACGGACAAGTTTACTTTGTTTGTATACTGTAATTTTCTTGTTTTACTAAGTACAACCGTATGCAGTCAAAACATAAACAAACAAAATGTAAACATAGCAGACGAAACTCTTACAGATTACAGCTTTCTCAGTAGGTATCACTATACTAAATCAAAGAATTATTTGAAAAGACGATATCGAATTCGTCACTGAATTCCCATGTTTTTTGGGACACCCTGTATTAGAAATATAAAACATTTTTGTTCTGCTCAATAACTCTGAAATTAAAGGAGTTATGATTGAAAACATTTCAGGATCAATCTTGTACTGATATACTTACAATTTCAAATCAAATCATATAATTTTCTGCAGTAATAATAAATCAAAACAGTTATGAACAAAACATTAGTATACTAAATATATATAAAATTACTGCAGCAGGAGAGCTTTGATAGCTTAGATCCGTTTTCACACAGCTCTCCTATCATCTTTAAGACAATAATTTGTTAAGAAGGTTAGAGATGGCAGTTAGTTTAGTTTGACGTGAACTAAAGTTTTTGCAGGAAACTTAACAAGTTGGACTTCTCAATTCTAAATACAGGGGACAAATATTGCATCTAATGAGCTTTCCAAAATGTGGTCTACCTTCTTTGTATCTTAAAAGTTATTAGACATTTGAACCGTTATGTTGATTTTAAATAAACTGGAATTTTAAAATATTTCCCAAAATCTCAGTCAATTTTCAAGGTAAAAAAATGGTAGACCACATTTTGGAAATCCCGAGACTAGAAGTTTTCAGTTTTGTTCTAACTCGGATATTACAAAATTATTTTAACGAAATAATCCCGCATGGACCAAAAACAATATAAAAGTCGTCATTAATTCCCATGTTTATTGGGACACCCTGTAGTTTTTGAATAGATTTGTTGCTTATATGTTCTTTCAGGATCAAAATTTGGCAGAGTGCAAGAAAAGCAATTGTTTTCAAAATCGTGTCTTTCTTAGATTATGCCAAACTTTGACACTGACAGAAAATATAGGAAAAGTTTCTGAACTTTTTTATTAAAAAAGTTTAATAAAAGCAACCCTTTTAAATTTTGGAAGTTTTAATAAAAGTTTTCAGAAAACGATCCAAAACGATCCAAAACGATCCAACAACACTTGGTGTAAAATAAAAACGAGAAGTTACTTGAGCGTAAAAATTCTTTTCTTAGTTATGAGATTGACGTGAATTTGAATTGAATCGTAAGTATTGGTAATGTTTTCCAACCATCAGCCTCCAAGCTTTTCTTTAAGCATCTTGGGAATCTAGGAACAAGGCTAAAACCAAATCTCAAATTAAACTTAAATATATAAAAAGTAGAACTTGTGTGAGAATATGAAAGAAGAAAATGAAAAATATCAAACACTCCGAACTCTTTCAAATCTATTATGAAATGTCGTCTTCCATGTCTTCAACATAAATTGTTAAATTGACAATTTTATGGATTTAGTGCATTGAAATATGAATGAAATCACTAAAATATAGATCTGAAAGTTACATATTTTAACAAATATATTCAAAAAGGCTACATAAACTTGACTTAATTACTAGTTAATGTTTGTCAACAAGTAATAAAGCCCCCGAAATGTTTAAAAATTGAAATATAGCCCAAGCTCTGGACAATGAATTCATGCTTAATCTTCCATATTTTTGTACTTGCAAAGGCGAAATCATTTCGCTATCCCCCCACATTTAAAGTATTTTTCCAATTTTTGAACAAAATCATGACCCTATTGAATCCCTGATATTTACATTGCAACCCTAAAAACAGGACCACAATGTTAGATTGCAACCCTAGGGATGCAATCTAATTAATTTGTCTGTCAAGAAATTGCGGGTTTACAACTCCGAAAACATGAATTAGATTTGATTTCTCAACTCAAAAATATGGGTTACAAAACTAAATAGATTTTACAGTTTTTTAAACCTGGAAAAGGTAGATTTTGATGTAAATTAAAATATTATTATTAATATTTCCTTCTATATTTATTAACTTCCTAAGAGATAAAAAGTTATAAATCAATCAATTCAAACCAGAACTTAAAATATTTAAAACATTTGTATTTTTCATTTCATGTTAAAAAGCTAATTTTTTTTCTATACTTTGGTTCTGTAAACGCCAGCGCAGCTATATATCCTAATCAAAGAATTAAATCCTTGAAACCATCAGCAATTTCCCTTTTATACTTCACATTTGAGATTTTTCTAGATTTCCAGGATAAAGTGGTTAAAATTCGATATGTGTGTAACATATAAAGTAAGCATGGCATCTTAATAATGGTTTTTATTGTTATTTTTTAAGGACGCCCCCCCCCCCA